CTTTTAAATGAAACTATTCCTTTAGGAGCTAACCAGTTCTACAGTCCACAGCAGTTTACTGTCTGAAATATGTATGATGTGGTCAAATACTGTATCACAGACATCATTAACAGCCTGTCACATACAGCCATATGCACATTAAATGTTTGTTGGGAGGTTTGTGATGAACACATGACTTTTCGTATGCTTGTAAAATGGCTTTACCACTTAATCCTGTTTGTTCCATCAGCTGCCCTCACTTGATCATTTGAATTTAACTACTTACATGAAGGAGAATCCCTACCAGTAACAGGTTAGTTAAAGCTGTAAGTACCACTGCTGTAATTTTAATTTCCGTCGACCTGTGTTTTGTGTGCACACTAAATCAGATCTTGCCGTCTGTCCCCAAGAGGTCTTTTGAGAAACAAAGAGAAAGGTCTAATAAATCATGGTTGATACTTTAGTGTGCAACACATTTCTTTCCACCAGTGCTTAATGTAATCAGCTTCTCTGCATATTTTTTGGAGCAGATAACCTCAAATGTAACTGATTTAATGCTTTCCACGAGTCAAGGCCTTTGCACACCAAGTTTGCATTTTTTTAATGTTCTCTGATAAAAATCATTAGCTACAGAAACCTTGCACACTGAGCAGGGTGTCTACAGGTTCTTAAAGTCTGAAACTAAGTTCTCTTAATGAGGCCTTAAAAAGCCTCAAATTGTCTTAAATATTTTCGGTCATATTACTGTAAAAATTCCTCCAGCCTGACAGACCCAGTGACTGTTTACAATCATGGGACAGACCAAAGAATTACAATAATAATAAAATAATCGCATTTATGATGGTGATGAGATTTAGTTTTCTTTTTACGTTAAACACATTAAACTTCAACTCACCCATTTTTCCTTACTGTTCATTTTGAACTGACAGTGTGTTTACTTGCAGGTTTGGTCTTAAATTTCATATAAGGTGGTGGTAAAAAGGCCTTTAAATGTATTAACTTTAACTTGGTTGTATCTGTAGACACCCTGCTGAGACTGAGGTGTTATTGTTTCACTGGTTGAGAAGACACATTTCCTCCCTTGCTTCTCTCCACTGGAGGTCGAGCTGTCCTCCCTCTCTGTCTCCTGTCGCTCTTTTTTTTTTTTTTGCGTGTGATCTTCACCCTCCTTTTCGTCATCATCATCCACCTGAATATTACTATGTGGCCTGTTGAAAGTAGGATGAGTTATGAGATTGTGCGCCCTGTTCTCTGTCTTGTTGTGGATGTGTTCCACAGGTTGCACCACATTTTCTTCACTGCCTCTGTCAGACAGGTCTCCAAAGGCTTTTGGCAGATGTGGGGGAAAAAACATCTATTTAAATTTATTTTTAAACGTGCAACAATTTCAGACGAAAAATTAGAACATGGTGTGCAAAGGCCTGTAACACAGGCAGTCTTCACTGGTAAGTATGGGCGCATCACTTTAGGTCAGTATGCTGACAGGAGAGTGGCACGTTTTGCACAGTAAAATTTTGTCCACACACTTTTTTTCTCAACTTAATAGGTACTTTGCATTTTTTAATGTGCATTGTTTTCTTTTGTATGTGGCTACTTTTGGAGGACTTGAAGAATATAGAAGCTTATTGCATTTGTAAAATGCCACCATGTTGTGTTTGGTTAAGTCTGTTTAGCTGTTAAATCAATAGATTGCACCTACCTACTTCATGCAACCTCTGCATAAGCGAGTGCTCCATTCGGGCCACCTCAGTCAAGAACGTTTGGACACGCCTTTTTTTTTTTTTTTGCTTAAACTTTGGTGTGTAAAGAAATCAAATCAAGGTAATACAGTTTGTTAGATATCACAAAAATTCTATAAGGCTTTGACATCAAGAATAGAGTTGTGTGAAAATAAACATTTTCCTCAGTTTATAGTTATTTCATATTTTTAGAATGTGATGGTACCTGGGCCAGCTTAGTGCCTTTGGGAGAGTTTTTTCTGGTTTTATGTTGAGTCAATAACAAGCTTAATCATGAATATAAAGCTCTCTGCTGAATAATATTTGTAATTTCTTCACTAATGTATGAAATGTCTTTTTTTTTTTTTTAAAAAATAAACCAGTTCATAAACTGTAATGTGTCTTTGATGTTTCCATTCTACATTATTTGAAAAAACTTAAGTGGTACTCCTTGATGTAATTGTAATATGTGACTATTTCAAGCAAAACAAAAAATAAAAACAAAACAAAACAACAGACATGCTCTAAAAGTAGTAGGAAGAAGTGTTCACTTTTCATACCTGCCAACACTCCCGATTTACGTGTGAGTCTCCCGATTTTTAACCCTTTCTCCTGCCCTGTTGCTGATTGGTAATTTCTCCCGCTCCTGATTTCATAGTGATATGAGTCAAATTGGTATTTCGTGTGTCGTAGTACCTGGCAACCCAACCCAAACGGCCCCACCTGATGTGCTGTGCATGACTGCGCACGTTCAAGCTCATGTCCATACCCAAGCTCAAGGTCGAACAACTGAAAATGAATGAAACAGCTCCCAAAAAGAAGTATGCGTCGAAATTTCAGCTTACTTAGTGCCAGACCTTCCCTTTTCTAGTTGCTAGCCACATCAGCAAGTACCATGAATTTGCAAGCTATGTCGGGCCGATTTTAGTGTGGAACACGGCGGGAAAAACAACATTAGCAAACACACACAGGCATTGGAGGCGCAGAGAGGAACTGCTCACATCGGCTCGTTCTTGCTGAGGTGTGTTGGAGGCTGATAAAATTACGAATCATAATCCTTTCCATTTCTCAGTATTTATGTCTCATTTAAAAGAAAATTAAACAACCATCCCAAACTAATTTATAACCATTAATATAAAGACACAACAGTCTTAGACATTAACTATACACACCCCATCTCAACCAAGCCTAGATAAATAAACCAACCCATCAGAAACATTGAAATGCGCAAACTTTTCAAAGTTGTATGAACACAATGTGTTTTTAGTCAAGATTGAAAACATCCTTAAAATGACGTTGATAGGTTAATAGTGTTTAAGCCTATGTCTTGAAAGCAGAGAGCCAGCCTTCTGAGCAGCTGTCTCCAATTAATTCCTCCTACTAGGACACCTTAACAGCTGGCTTTTGAATGTCTTTGTCCAAAAGAGAGAATGAAAAACTTCAACGAAGAGTGCTCAAGTGTCTCCAGTTCATTAGCTCAGCGGGATAGAAGACTGGTTTGAAGGTCAGAGGATCAGGGTTCAATTCTTAGGTGAACTGTCGGTCTGTTTTGCAAGCTGATGTCTGAAGGAGAAATTTACAAGTTGGAAGGAACACAGAGTGTCTCTGGCCTGGTAGCTCAGGCTGTTAGAGGACCAGTTGGAAGTCCTTAGGTTGAATGTTCAATCCTAGTCCAGGGCAGCTGAACTGATGATTTAAGTTCGGATTTCTCTTTGGAGCACTGATTACATCAGGTTTGTGGCTGGACCTTGAAGATATTTGAGCTTCAATCAAAGTGTATGAAGGGACTGTTAAACAGCCAGAGCTAGTCCACCTCACGCTTCTGTTGTGTTTCACGGAGCCTTTCACTCTGTCCTCTGGACAGCAGCCTTTAAAATTCATTGATCCTCAACGAGGATCAAACATTCAACTTAAGGACTTCCAAGCAGTCCTAACAGCCTGAGCTACCAGGCCAGAGCCATTTTGTCTGTTTCTTAGACACAACTTTCTCCTTCAGACCTCAGCTTGCAAAACAGACTGACTGTTCACCTGAGAATTGAAATCCACTCCTCTAACCTTCAAACCGGTCCTCTATCTCCCTGAGCTAATGAACTGGAGACACTCACACATCCTTGAGGATTCTCTCTTGCTCCTTCAGACAAAGCATAAAACAACAAACAAAGGAAGTCCATGTATAACTAATTTGGGACTTTCATGATGTAGGTTTGACTGTTAACCTGAGTAAAACAGTGCCTTCATACACTTTGACAGAAGCTCAAATATCTTCAAGGTCCAGCCACAAACTACCTGATGGAGTCAGTGCTCCAAAGAGAAATCAGAACTTGCATCGTCATACTGGTAGTTGACAGATCCCAAATGCATGGTATCTCTCCGTCTGGAGTTGTCTGCAAGATGATGAGTAAACCATCACCTTGATAACACCTTGTAACATTGATTTGTGCACTGAGCAAAGCACAATGTCACAGCACTTAAGAGACAACAACAGGGACTACAGGTGGAATGAACCTTAATGCAATTTCACTGTCAGTCAGTCCACATGAAAAACATGCATCTGCATCTGGACACAGCAGGCCACGTAGTTATCAAAGAAGATTCTCCCTCCTTTGTTGTAGAGCTCCACACTGCTCCCTCTGTATTCATTTGTTCTCTCAGCCTGTAAAACAGGAGCTATTTTTAAATTCTATGCAAACTAAGTGAATTAAGTTTCTTAAACTTTGCATAGAAGGCTTTGAGGCAGTTTGTTCATGTCCAGCTGTCTCCATTTACAGTAACATCGGTGTTGGTGGTGGTTACACCATTAACACTCCCAATATTTGGGGCCAATACTTAATTGATTGCGTGAAGACGTTTTTATTGTAATCATGAATATTTAGTGCCCTCTGGTGGCCAAAGTGAGAAATTACATGTTAACTGGAGGTAATACTGTGTCTGGCTAAATGCTATGAGAGTGTTGTTATCCAGTGTGTCCACAAGAGGGCAGTGAACTCATGATTGTTAATAGGCAGGTCACGTTTGGCAAAACCAAATTGAGGTTGAGGAGTTTAGCAATTTCTAATTCTTAAAAGGACCATTGTGTTGGCTAGTTATCCACTTATTACTGCTTTTTAAATTACAAATCCGCTATAAATCTTCAAAATAAAAATAAAAAAACGCCGCTGTTTATAGAATGCAAGTAATAAAATCATCGAAAAGACACACTAAACTTCAATAATTCAGTATTTAAATGGACACTCTGACCTCAGGATGACTAAGCATGGTTTGTCACCATGCCAAGAAAATTTAAAAAAGGACATAATTCAAATATTCACTGTTTGTCTGGATTTTTATTCTTTGTCTACTTGCTGGGGAAAACCATCACAGGGCCGAGAGTTAGAGCTCCACATGCCACAATATCTGAAACACAATGTTCATATTAGAGCATCTTATGAGACTTTACTCGTTATTAAACTCCAGTTAGGATCAACATACCTTTCGGGATCAGACGTCTCTTGCTTTTATTGTGGGTTGAAGAACTGTTGTAACAGGTACTGTCACAACATCCACAAACATCACTCCCATCCACATTTATCCACCTGATGAGAAAATATACTTAATTATTTTGATTATAATACCTTCACAGTTGGACTGTTTGCTTTAATGTACATGCAGTAGACATTCTGTATTTGTGGACTGGTATAATATTTGATTCCAAGATCTATAGTTTCTTGGTCTCTCTGCAGTTTCTCTATACTTGCTATGCATTATTAAGAGAAATAACTAATTTACCTAGGCTAATTTGGGTATAAAACATTCTCAACTTATTTTGTTGTTGATTTTAAATTAAATTTTGCAGTGTAGTGTAAGCGAAACACTATAATTTATTTGATTTGTAATTAATAACTACATTTTTGGCTTTAATTTAAAGGCATTTACACTCAAATTTAATGTAGAAATTGCAGCATGGGTAATATAAACACACTCAAACACCCTGGCAACTTAAAATCAGCACCTTTAACGGTTTCAAAACTAAAATGCTGGGGTGCCAAATAAGCAAAGACATCATGATTCAAATACAGTTTTGAAGATCTATCTTTGTAAATGATCCTTTAAGTGTAGCATTAAAACTTTCCAAACCTGTACAAGGCTTTGTTTGGTAAAATAAGGACCTACAGTACTCCCAAGAAAGAAAAAAAAAAATCACCTTGAATGTACATAATTGCAGGCCTTGTTGACTGGACTTCTCTTCCACATTTCAGAAGTCGCTTTCAGCTGGCAAGTGATAAATATCTAAAAAAAAAAAAAAAAAAAAAAAGTAGGAGACCACAGAAATGTCATTATACAACCACAGGAGCATTTCCAAACAGTTTGAAATCATGCAGGTTATGAAAGTGTCTTACTGAGTTCCTTGAATCCTGGTAAAACAGGAAAGCATCAAGCTGCAGTTGAAGCGAAGAAGCTCTCATCCTGGGTCGGAACAGTGCATTTGAGCCTTCCTCTTTTGCATCAGTGAGGCACCTGACAAAATATTATATTTTCATGTAAGTCCAAAGCTAGCTGGTTGTTTCATTCTGTGTCCTGAGCTACTTTTACCCATGGTTTTCAATTAAGTTGTATCTGGGGACTGATGTTGGGTCAGGTGACAGAGTGGCGACGCAGCTGTTGATGAAGAGTCGTCTTTGTTCTGCATCGGGACCAGTGTAAGAAGCCTCGAGGTGCAGGAGATCTCCAAGGTAGAAGACATTGGAGAACTTCTCACCTCTCCAGTCATCTGTATGCAGACACAAACATTAGTACATGCAGTGGTGGGACATTTACTCAAGCACAAATTTGAGGTACTTGTACTGGCTTGAGTATTGCTTTTGCATGTTACTGTGTACTTCTGCTCCACTACAGAATTACTTTAATTACTTTTCAGATTGCAGTTTTTCATACCTTTCATCTCCAGTGAAAACAAGTAGTAACTATATTATACACTGAACAAAAATATAAAGCAACACTGTTGTTTTTGCTCCCATTTTTCATGAGCTGAACTCAAAGATCTAAAACATTTTCTATACACACAAAAGACCATTTCTCACAAATACTGTTCACAGATCTGTCTAAATCTGTGTTAGTGAGCACTTCTCCTTTGCCGAGATAATCCATCCCACCTCACAGGTGTGGCATATCAAGATGCTGATTGATGCTGATCAATGTATCAAAACTATAATGTGTGTGATCTTATTTTAGAAAAGTTTTAGTATAACAAAAAATGTCACAGTTGGAACTTGAATGCATTTTGTATGCTTTTATGGACTGGTCTAAAAACGCCAAGATCTGGTCATGTATAGTAAAAGAGTTGAGTACAAATCTGAAATGTATTATATGTAAAGATCCTGGAAAGTTTTTATCAGGACTGCCATCAAAACCAGGACTCTTAGTGTCTTGTAGATTTAAGTTGCTTTATAAAATTATTTTTCTGGCAAGAAAATGCAGAATATTTAAGGACAAAAAACACGTCAACACAATTAAATTGTTGGGGGGGGGGACAAAATCATCGATGGTTAGACTCCATGCCGAAATAAAAGGAAATGAAAGCAGCTAAATAAATGTATGGCAGCCACTGATAAATCACTTACCTGATCTAAGTAAATATGTATCTTTAACTTATTAATGTGTGTGTTATTATTTGAATATAAAGGCATCAGTGTAAACCCTCTCACCCCGTTTTTGTGTTTCTTTCTATCTTATTTTATTACATTTAATATTTGCCATAGTATAGCAGGTCGTTAAAAACCATGAAAAAAAAGTCATAGTATAGTATGTCGTCCAAAATCATGAAAAAAAGTCATAGTATAGCATATCGTTCAAAATCATGAAAAAAGTCACAGTAAAGTATGTCATCCAAAATTATGAAAAAAGTCATAGTATAGCATGTCATCCAAAATTATGATAAAAAGTCATAGCATAGCATGTCGTCCAAAATGATGAAAAAAAGTCATAGTACAGTATGTCGTCCAAAATTATGAAAAAAAGTGATGCTATAGCCTGTCATTCAAAATTATGAAAAAAAGGTCACAGTATAGCATGTCGTCCAAAATTATAAAAAAGTCATAGTAAACAATGTCGTCCAAAATTATGAGAAAAAGTGATACTATAGCCTGTCATTCAAAATCGTGACAAAAAGCCATAGTATAGCATGTCGTCCAAAATTATGAAAAAAAAGTCATAGTATAGTATATTATTCAAAATCATGAAAAAAAAGTCATAGTATAGTATGTCGTCCAAAATTATGAAAAAAGGTCATACTATAGTATGTCGTCCAAAATTATGAAAAAAAAGTCATAGTATAGTATATTATTCAAAATCATGAAAAAAAAGTCATAGTATAATATGTCATCCAAAATTATGAAAAAAGGTCATACTATAGTATGTCGTCCAAAATTATGAAAAAAAGTCATAGTATAGTATATTGTTCAAAATCATGAAAAAAGTCATAGTATAGTATGTCATCCAAAATTATGAAAAAAAAGTCATAGTATGGTATGTCATCAAAATTATAAAAAAAATCATAGTATAGCATGTCGTCCAAAATCATGAAAAAAAGTCATAGTATAGTATGTCATCCAAAATTATGAAAAAAAGTCATAGTATAGCATGTCGTCCAAAGTTATGAGAAAAACGTCAGAGTATAGCATGTCGTCCAAAATTGTGAAAAAAAGTCATAGTAAACAATGTCGTCCAAAATTATGAGAAAAAGTGATACTATAGCCTGTCATCCAAAATTATGAAAAAAAGTCATAGTATAGTATGTCGTCCAAAATCATGAGAAAAAGTGATACTATAGCCTGTCATCCAAAATTATGAAAAAAAGTCATAGTATAGTATGTCGTCCAAAATCATGAAAAAGTCATAGTATAGTATGTGGTCCAAAATCATGAAAAAAGTCATAGCATAGCATGTCGTCCAAAATTATGAAAAAAAGGTCATAGTACAGTATGTCGTCCAAAATTATGAAAAAAAGTGATGCTATAGCCTGTCATCCAAAATCATGAAAAAAAAGTCATAGTATAGTATGTCATCCAAAATCATGAAAAAAGTCATAGTATAGCATGTCGTCCAAAATTATGAAAAAAGGTCACAGTATAGTATGTCGTCCAAAATTATGAAAAAAAGTCATAGTATAGCATGTCGTCCAAAATCATGAAAAAAAGTCATAGTATAGCATGTCATCCAAAATTATGAAAAAAAGTCATAGTATACCATGTCGTCCAAAGTTATGAGAAAAACGTCAGAGTATAGCATGTCGTCCAAAATTCTGAAAAAAAGTCATAGTAAACAATGTCGTCCAAAATTATGAAAAAAAGGTCATAGTACAGTATGTCGTCCAAAATTATGAAAAAAAGTGATGCTATAGCCTGTCATTCAAAATCATGAAAAAAAGGTCACAGTATAGCATGTTGTCCAAAATCATGAAAAAGTCATAGTATAGTATGTCATCCAAAATTATGAAAAAAAGTCATAGTATATAGTATGTCATCCAAAATCATGAAAAAAAGTCATAGTATAGCATGTCGTCCAAAATTATGAAAAAAAGGTCACAGTATAGCATGTCGTCCAAAATTATGAAAAAAAGTCATAGTATAGTATGTCGTTCAAAATCATGGAAAAAAGTCATAGTATAGTATGTTGTCCAAAATCATGAAAAAGTCATAGTATAGTATGTTATGAAAATATTTAAAAAAGTCATAGTATAGCATGTCATTCAAAATCATGAAAAAAAGTCATAGTATAGTATGTCATCCAAAATTATGAAAAAAAGTCATAGTATAGCATGTCGTCCAAAATTATGAAAAAAAAAAGTCATAGTATAGTATGTGGTCCAAAATCATGAAAAAAGTCATAGTATAGTATGTCGTTCTAAATCATGAAAAAAGTCATAGTATAGTATGTCATCAAAGCATTAAAAAAGTCATAGTATAGTATGTCATCAAAATGTCATAAAAAGTCATAGTATAGTATGTCATCAAAGTATTACAAAAAGTTATAGTATAGTATGTCATCAAAGTATTAAAAAGTCATAGTATAGTATGTCATCAAAGTATTAAAAAAAATCATAGTATACTATGTCATCAAAATTATAAAAAGTCATAGTATAGTATGTCATCAAAGTATTAAAAAAAATCATAGTATACTATGTCATCAAAATTATAAAAAGTCATAGTATAGTATGTCATCAAAATGTCATAAAAAAGTCATAGTATAGTATGTTATGAAAATATTTAAAAAAGTCATAGTATAGCATGTCATTCAAAATCATGAAAAAAAGTCATAGTATAGTATGTCATCCAAAATTATGAAAAAAAGTCATAGTATAGCATGTCGTCCAAAATTATGAAAAAAAAAAGTCATAGTATAGTATGTGGTCCAAAATCATGAAAAAAGTCATAGTATAGTATGTCGTTCTAAATCATGAAAAAAGTCATAGTATAGTATGTCATCAAAGCATTAAAAAAGTCATAGTATAGTATGTCATTCAAAATCATGAAAAAAAGTCATAGTATAGCATGTCATTCAAAATCATGAAAAAAAGTCATAGTATAGTATGTCGTTCTAAATCATGAAAAAAAGGTCACAGTATAGTATGTCGTTCAAAATCATGGAAAAAAGTCATAGTATAGTATGTCATCAAAGTATTATAAAAAGTCATAGTATAGTATATCATCAAAATGTCATAAAAGTCATAGTATAGTATGTCATCAAAATATAAAAAAGTAATAGTATAGTATGTCATCAAAGTATTAAAAAAAGTCATAGTATGTTTTGAAAGTATTAAAAAAGTCATAGTATAGTATGTTATCAAAATATTTAAAAAAGTCATAGTATAGCATGTCATCAAAATGTCATAAAAAAGTCATAGTATAGTATGTCATCAAAGTATTAAAAAAAAGTCATATTATAGTATAGTATGTCATCAAAATATAAAAAAGTCATAGTATAGTATGTCATCAAAATGTCATAAAAAAGTTATAGTATAGTATGTCGTCAAAATGTCATAAAAAAGTCATAGTATAGTATGTTATCAAAATATTTAAAAAAGTCATAGTATAGCATGTCATCAAAATGTCATAAAAAGTCATAGTATAGTATGTCATCAAAATGTCATAAAAAAATCATAGTATAGTATGTCATCAAAATATAAAAAAAGTCATAGTATAGTATGTCGTCAAAATGTCATAAAAAAGTCATAGTATAGTATGTCGTCAAAATATAAAAAAAGTCATAGTATAGTATGTCGTCAAAATGTCATAAAAAAAGTCATAGTATAGTATGTCATCAAAGTATTAAAAAAAGTCATTGTATAGTATGTTATGAAAGTATTAAAAAAGTCATAGTATAGTATGTCATCAAAATGTCGTAAAAACATTCATAGTATAGTATGTCAAAAAACACTGCGCTGTATTGCTACTTTCACTTTGGTAAAGGATCTGAATACTTCTTCAACCACTGACTACACATTAATCAAGAAAGAACTGACACGTACCAGCCATCAGCTTTAGAGAGAAAGCAGCTGTGGAAGACTTTGCAGGAGTGGAGGGTGTCAGGGCTAACTGCTGAGAATTACTGCTCACAATGTGTGTCCTGTCCCAGAAAATTAACAAGTCATCCATAAAGAAGTCACAGAACAGCTCCTCTGTACGAGACAATGATAAAATGTCACCTTTTATAGTGACAGGAAACAGGAACTACAGCATGGGTGACCCTAGTAATGCCATGGTAACGGGCAGCTGGTGAGATAATCAGCTTGTTTGAGTAGATCACAGAGTCGTCAGATATCTGGAGATGAAGTTAAACATCAAAGTCAAAACTTTCAAGCAGCCACAGATGTATCCATCATCATCAGTAACTTACAGTTAACTTGGAGCCACAGTCTTGCAGTCTGGCTTCAATGACATATTCAGCTTCACCAGCAGCAACAGCTCGGCACTGACTGCTCTGTGAATGCTCAGCTTCTCCCAAAAAAAGCTCCCCAACAGACACTGGACGTCCTTTTTCATACAGGTCAGCCTTTACCATAATGATCATGGTGCCTTCTGTGCATCGTACACGGACAGGGGAGCCGTCATTGAGTTGTGGTCCACTAATGTCTTCTGCATCAGCTCTTAATGTAGCAGATTTATATTCCCTTCCTTCAGCATCGATCAGGGGTCCACCTTTCAAACTTCGAATGGCATCTGCCACACCAAAAGCAAATGATATCAGCAGTGCCAGTGAGGCTGAGTGACCTGTGATTAGCATTTCACCCTTTTCTCATAACAACAGGACAAGACACTATTTTGATAAGATGCAGGGGATTCAAACACCCGAGACAGTCCTCCCAGTATCTCAAATACTTCCCAGTTCAGAGCAATCACATCACATGGAGAGGACAGCTGGAAGCAATTACTCATTAAGTGATGTGGGGGAATTAAAGGTGCAGTCACACTGAAATACCTGCGTGTGATTGGCTCACACCCAACATTATGCTTCTTCTTTACTGAAATAGAGATGTGCTGAATCGTGGATCAATACTTGAATGTTGCCCCATATTTTCTTATTGTTGGCAACATTTTCAACATTTTCTTAAAGTATTTATTTCTTATTGCATGTAAGTTTCTATGAGTTTAACAAGTTCAGTGTCCCAGGAAGAGACCCCATCTTCCAAACTGCCTTTTTACCTAAAGAGCAAAGACAGATGGGATATTGCCACTACCACTGCATTTACACAGTCTTTGAAATTTTGCTTGTTTTTTTTCCCCAGTGCCCCAAAATAATAGTGATGATTACAAAATGTACAAAACTGGTCTCATGTAGCATCCTTATCTTCATGACTAGTGTGCGATTAATTTATTTTGCATACATGTTTTTATCAAAAGTTTTTTTTTAAATAGTTTCTATGTAACGTGACCTACCAACTCAAATATAATACAAAAATGTATCACTGAAGTAGACACACAGGACACATTACTTCATATTGGATCTTAGTGCTCATCTATATTTCTATGGGAAATTATTTTTTTCCCCAATAACTGTCTTCAATGTATTTTTAAAATATAGTTTTAGTTTTATTAATACCTTGTCATATGGGATTTTTTTTAATAAATAGTTTTTATGAAAAAAAGAAATTCTCAATAGCTTCAATGCAATCAATAAATGTATCAAAATACTGGAAACACAGGACACAGCTCTTCATATCTTCTGTAGGATTTTAGTGCTTTTTTGGTTTTGTTTTTTAAATATATTTTATAGCAAAAATCATGATTTTTATTTAAATAACTTCCATGAAATATGACCCAGGGCTTTAAATTTAATATATTAAATGTATCACTACATATGACAAACAGGACACACCACTTTATATGGGATTTTAGTGCTTTAGTGCTAATTTACATAAATATTTTTATGTAAATTGAGGATTTAATAAAATAATTCACATCTCTTTTCCCCAAAGCTTCCATTAATGACCCAGTGATTCAAAATGAATACCAGATATGACAAGACACTTGTCAATATTTATCAAATTTTTTTTTAAAATCAATTTCCATGTAATGTGACCCAGTGACTCAAAAAACAAGTGTCTCACCACATAAGACACAAGAAAACACAGGAATTTCAGTGCTTCATTTTATAGGACAATAATTGTAAATTCCTCAATGGTTTCCATGTAATGCAACCCCTGACTCAGTTTAATACCCAAATGTATCACTACCACTTAATTACTTAATTTGTCTTAATTATACAGCAGGCAGTCGTTTCCTCTTCGGTCTTGAATCTCCTGTAGAATCATCAAGTTCACCTTTGCTTTGTTTCCCTTAGCTGCACCTCATGGTTCTTTTAAATTCTCACATTTCCATCACTACCGTGATATCTGAGAGCTTTGAATACAAAGTGGGGTTCACTCACTAATAAGCAGGATATTTTTCTAACAAGACTGCTATCTGATAATGTCCAAACAGAAGCCCATCTTTAAGTTGGCAGTGGTTTCATAAATCATATTACTAGTCATTGTGAGCCATTCTAGGAATTAGTATGGAAAAAAGAAAAGACACGACTTTAGTACTCACACTGCACCATTAAAGAGTCAAAAGCAAACAAACATTTAATTGTTTATTATCTCTTTGGGTCATCTTCTGAAAGGTCAGAATCTGTTGCATTTGACGGTGTAGTCACATCCACAGGAGACGGATCAGTGGGGCTGACGTCACTGATGGCCACTGTGCTGTTATTGTCCAACACTGCTGCCTTTGTTTTCAAGCTGAACTCAGGAGATACTTTTTCTAGATGTGGAGCAACTCTCTCAGCATCACCATCTGTAATTAGATGAAGAATTTGAATGCTGCCATGACTTGACATTTGATGTAAAAACTTGAGCGTTTCACACGTTACCTGTTGTTAGGTCTGTTCCGCTTTCAACACGTTTGTCCAGTTGAGATGTCTGAACCTCCACCTGGTCTGGTGTAGATGGTGAATCAGGGAGCAGCTCTTTCCTCTCATCTAGGATAGAAAGACAATTTAGCATTTATTTCTCCAATTGACTTATTTCTTCCACATGTACTTTGTTCCTTATGGCAAATTTTGACACACAATATAAATGACAAAAATCTAATACAAGTCCCAGGCCAGTATTTTTACTTGAGGGGGGAAAAAAGTAACAGGCCCACATTGAAATCCATTAAATAGTTAGTGTTTAACTCTTACCAACTCTTTTGTTGTTCACCCCACTCCTCCACTGGCTGCCATACAGTGCAGGTCTGCTGATTTTCTTGAGAACAGGAGGGAGGTCTTCCACAGGTATAGGCCCGCTTTTCTGCATGCCTGGCAAGACCATCATTGGACCCACGCTTGCCTCCTTTTCCCACACTAACAGATAAGCACAATACATCTTTACAGTGACACCATCTGCGACCAAGCTCTGCCGTTATTCCATGATACCCATTTATCATAAGATGTCCAGTTTCTGTAAGTGACCTTACCTGTATTGGTCTTCAGTGCGCTCCTCCAGAGGGCTTCAGGCTCATCTGGCTTCCCAAACCCACGAGGAGCAAACTTGCCAGGGCTGCTTGGTTTACCGCTGGGTTGGCCAATTTCATTTTGGTTTTGGCTTTGACAATACCCACATAAGTAGTCGTTAGCATCAGCGGACCGCCATCTGAAGAGCAGTAAAAGCATTCAGCACACACTTCATTAACCCTTTGTGTAATTTGATTTTAAGTAGACTGGATGTCACTTGCCTTCCATTTACAAAAGTGCACGCCTTATTTAGTGCCTCTGCATCATTTACTGGTACAGCATTCAGGTGGCAGGTGATGTAGAGCTGTAAAAAAAAAAACAACAAAAAAAAACAAAACAAATGTGCAGTTATGACTTTAGTATTTCACTGCCAGAAAGATGGTCTTCTTTGAGAGATGAACAGCAGGATCTGGGCTACGATAAGATGGATATTTACACAAACATTATACAAAGCTGGTTGCCAATCAGCAAAGTATCCCCTTTAAGCCAGTGTAAGAGTGTACTGACAGACGGTCTCACCTCTCCTCTGTCCTCATTATGAAACCTAAAGGCATCAATGACCAACTGGAGCTTGTCATCCTGTGACCTGGTTAGGAAGTGTGACCTTGAACCTGGAAGCTGGGAGTCAACCAAGCACCTGAAGGGGAGAAAAAACACAACTATTTTTGTACATGCCTTATGGTATAACAATTAATACACTCCAGTATAAGGGATCAAAATTGATGTAGAGATATCATCCATATTATTGCAGGCCTTTTCCCTTGGCAGTAAAATTGGATTCTGGGTAGAGTAGGCACCATTTTGACGACAGTTCAAGACAGAAATGTGGGCGTTATGCTACTGGTGGCCTATTGCCCATCAAATTTAAAATGCAGTCAACTGTGTATTTGCTCAGAATTAAGACCAGGAGCTGACTTTGTTGTGCTGTTTGTTTTACTATATAAATTATGTAACAGAAACATGTAATTTCTGGACTGGGAGAAATATTGAAGTCTAGAAAATAACTAGAACAGGATTTGTTTTTTTTGTTTTTTTTAAAAAATTGCATATGCCCACTTTCTCCCCAGTTTCCTACCATTTTGATGCTCCAACATTTTAGTTTGTAACATAAATAAGGCAGCAGCTAAACCGTATCATATAGACTTGTCATGCTAAAGAGTAACTAGCCTAGCTTAGCAGAGTAACTCATCTGTGCAGCCTCTGACTCCTGTGGAATTTAAATAGTTGTGACTAAGCAATCTTTCAAATAAATGTATTTATTTGAACATTAATTTATAAAACTAGCTTGTTAGTTCATATGAGCGCGAGCTGACACACATTTTGTTTGTCAATGGCGTTTGTCCTGCACCCTTAAATTGCCCAAACAGTTCCGTTAGTCTTTTAGGTTTTATGTGAGGACTGACAAAGACCTGCCTTAAGGTTTAACAAGTGACGTTACAGTTTGGTTAATATCCTGCAAACATTATTTAAAATTCCCGCCACCCAAATTTCTTATTGTCAAACTAGTCTTAAGCCCCAACCATAGATCTATAGTAATACCAAGATACCGAACGGCAAGATGGCGCCTATCCATGCCAATGGAGTTGCTCGCTTGGTGCATGTGCCAAAAACAAACTTTCTAGCTTCCAGGTTTACCTCAGTGGTATGCAGCCCACTGAATGTGCAGTGGTGTTTCTACTGCTGGCGCCGCCTATGAGTTACCACTCAGCTTACAGACATTATGTGGTAATGTCAGATTTTTTTAAAAAAAATCTTGGCTCAAGGAAAGTTTTACAAATATAAAAACAAACCATGGATCAAAAATTCCTGAAGAAAAAGTCAGAACTGACCTTATTTGCAGTTTCGGGTGTCCTGTCAGTTTTACAGACGTCTTTTACAATAGGGAAAATGGTTTTTGGGCCACAGGGGATTTTTTTGCTGCAATACCACAAGCAGGCAGTGGGAAAAATTGGAAGCGGCTGAGCTGCTTTCCTGGGGGCCAGGTCTCAAATGCCAACTCAAGTGACATCACATGAGGCAATTTCAGTTTCAACACAGCTCCCATTGGAGACACAAAATGCACCTTTTTAAACATATGCAGCAATATCTCAACTCCTGTAAACAAACCAACATGTAAAAAAATGTCAATCATTTATCATCAAGTTGCAGCTTTCAAGTGCTTACCCATTTTCAATGAAGACGTATCTGGGAACAGAATAAATGTCTGGGTTAAGTGTCGCCACACAGCTGCTCAGAAACACTCGGAGCCCCATGTGGTTTCCAACTCTGACTGAGGCTTCGATGCTGATGGGCTCACCAAGGTGATACACATTAGAGCTTCTTTCATACAGCCAGTCATCTGCAGAAAAGGGGGGGGGGGGGGGGGGGGGGAAAAAAAAAATAAAAAAAAAAAAAAACAAATCACAACGAGAGAAAAGAAAAAACCCACTTGTCATGATTCTCAAATTAAAGTCCAAGGTTTCCACTGCAGACTGGGTGGACGTGAAGGGGATCCATGTAGGCATGAGTGAAGAACTGGACAAGCTGTACTTCCTAAAAAAAACAGAAAAGCATTTTAGAAAGTGATGCATCATCCAGAGATCTTTAGGAAAGTTTATTAAAAAGGCAGACCTTTCGTAATGACACTCAATTGGAATTACAGCCTCATCCATCCGAATCACCCCGTCTGGAGAGACCACAGGAGAGTATATGAGGAGGTTTGTATAGACCAGAGAGTCCTCAGTCATCTGTGGAGAGTAGAGGAGAGTGTTTGCTCAGAACTGGAAGTTATAATGTAAAATAAATGCCTGCATTGCAATAATCTTACCCAGTGTTTGGTGCCGCAGTCCACAAGTCCAACAATGATTCTGTACTCATCTCCTGAAGACGTTGTAGGCCTACAATAATCATTGTACTCCACTCCAAGGCGTAACTCATCACCATTAACAGGCGCTCCAACTCCAAACATGTCGGCTTTGATGACAATCTCCAACGAGTCCGGATGGCAGGTCACCCTGACCGTATTCACCTGCTCTCGCTCCTCAGCTGCAACCTTTTGTTGCTCATGGTGTTTGGAGCTCTCTGTGATCTGAGGACTTTGAAACAACGCATGCTGTGCGTAATGTGTGGATGGAAGAGCAAAAGAGGATCTGACACACAGTCCAAGTAGGAGGGTAAGCCAAAAACACAACAGCTCCATGAATATTAAAACAGCAGACTGGTGCAGAATGCAAACACTCCTCCTGTCTGACCCACTCAGCAGCACACCAGTCTGAGCAGTGGAGCATTTTAAACTTCCAGTCAGCCTCATCAGAGCAGCACTGCACACCTGAGACCAATCAACTTCTGATTGGTTCCACACTCTGTGACACTCAAGGCAAAAGTCTGATTCATGTGAGATTTAGGGGGATTTCAACTTAAGTTTGAAAACACACAGATATTTGCTTCATAGCTTTTTTCTTTGGAAACATATGTGCATTAAAATGTAAAGAAAAAGCAGTCATGCAGTTTAAATATAAATACAAAGGGCTTTCACATAATTTACATAAAAGAACATCTCAACTAGGTTAAATTAATCTTTTATCACTTTTCAAAAATAGAAATCCACACAAAATTTAAAGGAACTTTATATATATATATATATATATATATATATAACATACTGGTATCCATGTATCATATGTAGAAAATATGTTTCTATGAACTACAATAATAGCTCCATCCATAGAAATACAATGAGTATAGAACAGACATCTCTATTCAAACTCAGTGGATTAAGGGTTTTACTGGCCAAACTGGTGCTACAACACTAACTAGATGACTAACAAGGCTAACTAAGGCAGTGTTGGTGTGTTATATTTTGTTTCTGTCATGTTAAAATGATTAAATGTGTGAAGCCAGCGTTAGTCTTGGTTCTCTGAAAGAGAAAAATTTGGAATGGTATATGGTTGTATTTTTCTGTTTTGTAAGAAAAATAAGGGTAAGAATAGATCAAACTGAGTCCTCAAACGACCCCATTGACGTGTGTTGTTACAATAACAACTTACAACAATCTCCCTTTTCACTGGTCAAATAACCACAGCAAACACTTCAATGACCTTTCTAGTCCCATTCTGTTTCTATGGCTCAATCACTATTTCTTTTGACTGTGTAATCTACAGTTTGCATTCTCATCTAAAATGGTCTAAATGGTCCAGAAGGTCTTAAAAGTAAGCATGTTTGTGTGTCTCACTCTTTTTTTTTCTTTTTTTTTTACCTCTTCGTCTTTAAATAAAACATATTTGCTCAATTAAGTATTCCTGCATTGTTTTTATTTCTATTTTTTTTTTATTTTTTAAACTAGAGACTAGAGATTCAACTAATGTGGGCCAGTGGTGAGGGGTCAAAGGTCCCTTTCCTTACTGCCCCTTACTCCCAGGTAGGTATAACTGCAGCTGGAGCAGCTACATGCCCCGCCTTCTAGCTAGATGACTCGCCCACCCTCTACACATCAGTCCATAATCAGCTGCGTTCGCTCCTTGGCCTGGAAGAAGTCCTGGCTAAATTGCCAAGTTAGCAATTAGCTAGCTGTGAAGTATAATATTAAAAGAGAGGCTGTTATGGTTAAGTTAAGGGTAACAGTAAGGGCTACATCTTGTTACTTATTAAGTGAATCACATCTTCATGTATTACTAATTGTAAAGTGGATTGTAGTAGTTTGTAGTTGGTCTTGTACTAGATGTGGGCGCTGTTTGTAGGGTCATGTCATGTATGCTACAAACAGAACGCGTCTGCAGCTATACATGTCTCCTTACTCCACGTGCCCCTGCTCAGACCACACCCATCTTCAAACTCGGCTTTTATTTTGATCTCAGCTGCACACCTGTAAAGTTTGGTGACTAAATCTTTCCACAGACAGACAGACAGACAGACATAAAAACACCTGCCAGAGTGCTCAAAATAGCTTCTGTGTTAGTAACCGCCACAGTACGTGTCTCCAGGGACACATTTTGCCATGATGACACCACACACACACACACACACACACACTCACAAGGTGAAAACACAACCAGCTGTCACCATGTTGTTGCAGCTGGAAAAAAACCACCACAGAATTGAATTGAAAAAGTTTAAAGATATAGTGTTAGATTATGCTGGCAGAATACTCCCATCCCCTCTACAGCCAGTTTGAGCTCTTGAGCTCCGGAAGGCGCTACAGAGTCTCAGCTTACATGGTTGTTGTTGTTGCTGTTTCTTTTTTTCCACAAATAACAACGTCATATACTGTATACTCTGGTAAAATATCAGGTAGGAATGAAAAAATAGATACCGCCCAAGCCTAATTATAAGCTTTCCAAAGATAGATTTCTTGCAGGCATAGTGTGCACGCTCACAGGACGCCAAAACCACTTCTGCTGGACAGCAGCTGCTAGTTATTGTGGTTGATGTGAAATCACTGAATATCAACAACTAACAACAACCCCTCTGCTGCTGCTGCTGCTGCTGCTGCTGCTGCTGCTGAGTGTCCTCCTGTCTGTGTCTGAGCTGCACTTTCAGGCTGATCTTGTACACACACCAGACATATCTGGTATTACAGCATGAAAGTGATATTCTTACATCCTCTTTTCTTGCTCAATAATTTCATAACCTGAGTGCTGAAAGCAGACAGTTACAACTCAGATATTGTGCACAATTCTGCTCACTATCACTATGTGACAAAGTTCAACTTTGGATGGATCAATATTTATAATAATCAAACTTTTGTGGAGAGTTTAATTTTCGATTTTTGTGTCAGTTAATACTTAAGGGGTGTGCACCGTCTGATGCTTAACACCCAGAGTCTGATAAACACAAGACCGACCGCAGACGCTCAACAGCACTTCTTGCTTTGAAGTCCGCTTCCTGCTCAGAGGTGAAGAACAATAAATACAGTGAGGCTGTCCACAAAGTCTCACAAGTGACTGAAGGAAATAGGAGGAGTAGAATATGACTTTGCTTCAGTATATCTGAGTGCATTTCTAACTGAAAGGGCCATGGAGATGAGCTTGGCATGCATTCTTATTTTCATTCAGCTCTTTGAAGGTAAGAGAAATTCACATTTTACTTGTGAAAATTTAACTTTGTGGCTTCTTATATACAGTATTTTTATTTACTGGGAGGTATATGAGACCACAGCTGTGTGGCTTTGGTTACCGCCATGCCCGCAGCGCTGTGTGGATGTACTGTGGCAGTGTGGTGCAAAAGCTAAAAGCTTTTCAGGATACTCAAAGATGCTTTGCTGAGAACAACAACAGCAACCACAGGGAGGTAGGGAGGGAAATGGTCCAGAAGAGGCGAAGTACACTGACTTTAAACGTCATAGGCAGTTTTGAAAAGGTGTGTTTTGAGGGTTTTCTTGAAGGTGGAGAGTTAGGGGAGTCTCTGAAGTCTTTAGGGAGTGAGCAGCAAAAGGCCCTGTCCAACCAGGTGCGGTGGTTAGTCCTAGTTGGGGGGGACAGGAGGTTGGCATCAGCAGACCTAACAGTGCAGGAGGGAGTGTCGCCGTGGAGGAGCTCAGACAGGTAGGGGGGAGCTTTGAGGAGTTTGAAGTGGATACACTGGAAGATAGGGTGCCAGCGGAGGTTATGAAGGATGGGTGCGGGAGTGTGTGAGAAGACGAGCAGCTGAGTTCTGGATATACTGTAGTTTCTTGAGTGTTTTGGCTGTAACACCGTAGAGGAGACTGTTGCAGTAGTCGAGTGATGAATGCATGGATGAGATTCTGCAGAGGGATGGACGGAGGCCATCATAGTTTGGGGTGTTAGCATGCTAATATTTCCACTTCTTATACTACATTTAAATCTATTATATATTTATGTGGTTGCTTTTAAATCTTCACAGACAAATATGGTTTGCTTATTAGTCATAAGCCACAGTTTTGTGTCACAGCAAGAAGGTTGTGGGTTTGAACCCAACAACTTCCTTTGTGGTGGTTGCACAAAACCTGAACAGTGCTAGAGGGAAAAATCCCCCCCATGGAGTCTTGACGCTGGTGGTGGTGGTGGTAATGGTATTGATGAGATGAAATGAAGAGGGAGGTGAGGATCTGGATGTGAAGAGGAGTGGGCTTTTGATGAGCTCGTTCTGGGCTCTGGATAAGGTGACGGGAGGTGAATGGGGTGGAGGAGGGCGTGATGATTCTACCTAAAATGACAGCTGACAGGAGCGGAGAGGAGAACTGATGTAAAGTTTGGTAGCAGCAACGTGAGTGGCTGAAGGAGATCGTGGCAAGGTTTGATTGGCTAACTAGGAGAGGGAACACCTGTAGTCAGCTGATTAGTGGAAGTGGTAGGGGTGGTCTTTCTGATTGAACTTATTTAAGCTTCATTTAACTTGTTCATGTACTATGTGACAATGATGAATCTTATCTAACCCTGTAAACACCAAAGTCTCTCACAACACAAACAAACTACCTGATGGAGGCAGTGTTAGACCAGCAGCTCCCATGTTCAGAGAGGTAAAATTATTGTTTTTGTCAGTGGAGTCCTGCTTTGAAGAGAGCATAGATAAGTTTCACTTTCATTACAGTTCTCTGTCAGAAAAGGCTGTTTGAGAAGTATTGTGCATACGACTGGATAAACGAGACTTAGGTTATACTGCACAACTTCTGTGAGAGTTTGCAAATGTATGCTTTGATATAGTTTTGTTGTTTTTAAATGTGGTCAAACAATGACTTTAATTCATCAAGAATTTTCTTAGTTTTTGGATTCTTTGTTCACCATGGAGGCATGCAAGAAAAAGCAGTACAGTATTCCTTTAAGGGTAACCAAAGCCAATAGGATTCATCCTCTGAGGACGAGGATATCTGTACAAAATGTCAAGGCAATCCATCCAATCGTTGTGAGGATATTTCAGTCTGGACCCAAGTGGACAGATCGACGCTGCCATCAATAGCACAACGCTACTAGCATGACTAAGTACAGCCATTACCTGATTTTATTTCTCCTCCAGCCTACGCAGAGTTGATCTTCAGGCAGCTGATGGAGAACCAGTCACTGGGGCTCTCCTGTTCCCCTCAGCTGGAACACGGCAGCCTGATGGGCCTCCATCTGTACCATCGCAGCAGCCAGAGCCAGACGACCCTGCTGTCCATGGCAGAGGGTGACAAACTCAGGGTCGACCCAGAGCACAGGAAGCGTCTGCAGTTCCGTGGAGGTCTGGACTCCCTGCAGGTCAATGTGACCATGTCCCATTTACAGCGCAGTGACACAGGAATCTACATGTGGGAGCTGAGCTACAAAGAAAACAACTCGGATAGGATCGCCGTCTGCGCTCAAAAGGTCTTTTTGTTGGTTGAAGGAACAGGTGTGTAGTTAAAACACCTCACAGTACACTTTGCTGCAGCTAAACCCAAGTAATGTTGAGCAGATTTTAATGCATGTTGGTGTTTGTGGTGCAGGGAGGCCGTGCCAGTGCTCTCCCAGCTACCCTCCTGTGCTGTTCACCATCTTCACAGCAGCAGGATTTCTTCTGCTCACGCTCAGCTGGCTGGCCACAGACAAATGTGTGAGTATTTACGCAGAAGATGTTTGTCAGTTTATGTTGCAGTATTTCTGACGCAGTCATTTTTCAGGCAGCAACTGCTGCAAATCAAAAAGACAAAGACGTCTACACAAGTGAGTCATTTTAGAGCTCGACACCAATTAATATGTCAGCTTTAATGGAGGCCTGACAAATATCTGTTTGAGTGCGCAGGTTTTCAAGGCAACTTCTGTAAAAAAGAGGCGTAATAATTATCGCTGGGACTGTTGGTGCATGAGTCACAAAATCTGTGACATTAAACCAAATCTCAAAGGGAAAATTCCTCATACCAATATATAATATTCAAAAAGAAAACTGAACAAGCCCCATAGTGTGATATGTGTTTAACTGTAAAAAACATCAGCCTCAAAAGTTGATGTCAATCAGAACATCTTGTAAAGTGTTTCCATTCTTCTGTCCAGTCCCTGTATTGTGTTTTGTTCTGCTGACTGAGCCTCAACAAGACTTTACTTTGCTGTTTGGTGTACATATATGTAACTTTACATCTGTTTACTAAGAACAGGATTTCAAATCACCCACCAGAGACCACAAAACATGTTTAGAATTCATCGTGACATCCAGCCTACAGATTATTTTTCCTTTTTCTTATTTCGTTTTTTTTCCCCTCGTCTTTTTTTTAGAGTAATAATAAAGTTATGCAGGAGAATTTAAGGATAAAAATCCTCTTTCTCAGTGTCAAAGGGTTGACTTAAAAGAGCAGTTGATACATTTTTTATTTTGTTCAGTTTAATGTGTGTGTCTTTTCTTCTCTGAATGCAGGAAGTCGCTGCTCTGCAGGAATAAATCAAGTGGCATTAATCTATTAAACATTCAAACACTGACAGAAAGCTAATCTGTGTCAATTCATTAATCATTTAGGTCTTTTTTTTAAGCAAAGATGACAAAAAAATTCTGGTTCCAGCTTTTCAAATGTAAATACTTGATGGTAATAATTTTTTAATCATTATAAAGTGTATAAATTTGTTGGTCGGCCAAAACAACTTTTCAAGATTTCTGTGATGCACATTTTTTCACAATTTCCTGACATTTTATAGACCAGTGGCTCTCAACCTTTTTGTGTCAAATACCCTTAAATTGATGCACATTTGGTCACAGACCCGTATTTGAGAAGATTTAGCTGCAGGGACCTCCATCTGAATAATTGAGACCAGAATTCTACAGTTGTCAGCTACAGGTGAGGAGATAACTGTGGACGAAGTGAAACCTATATCCAGAATAGTTACTTTCACGACTCTTACTCACACTGGGCTCACTTCTGTAGAGAATACTGCAGTGAAAATAAACTATTCCTCATTTTCTAAGGACCCCTGGAGCTCCTTCAAGGACCTGTGTGGGTCCCTGGATCCATGCTTAAGACTTATAGACTAAAACATAAATCGATTAATTGAGACAACAATCGACTAATAAAAGAAATTGAAAAGAAACAAATGCATATTGGAAGTGCAAGTGCAAGTGCAGAAGCTTGTTAATACTCCATACTGAGCATAAAATGGTATCTAAATTATAGTAAGAAATAATGTGTTGCAGGTGAAGGCAAGGCGTCGTCACAGACCACCACCGCCTGCTCCTATCTATGAGGAAATGACCAGGAAGCAGCAGAGCGCTGGAATCCCTCAAAATAGCCCAGAGGCCCCCTCACACCTGGAGGAAGTCAACTTCCCCGTGTACGCCAACCCCAACATCCGACAGCCACAAGACAACTACTACGCCTGTCCCAGACAGCTCGCCCTCAGAGCCTGACGTGACTTCTGGCATCGCACTAATGGTGCAGCAAACATTTTACAGGAAATGACACCAGCTCTGCCGCAGAGATACGATATGAAAGAGATAGGTGACTTCTCGGCCAGGAAATGAGAAAGATCTCAGTTTGGTCGAGCCAAGCGGAGGCGCAAAGACAAACACCAAATGGCACTTTTTTTTTATTTTTTTACAGCCAAGAAAAAAATGCTATTTTATTAATATTTGAAAGAAGCTCCATAGTTCATGAAAACATTTGTTTCGGTGCATGTCATTTAACAATCACATTCTATGAGGAGAAAGAGATATACAGAGAGAAAAAATAAAACATTACAAGCCACTGACTTTTCATTAAATCTCAGTACAGACATTTTTACTTAATATTTCAAAAACAAACCAAAAAAAAAGGCAAAAGAAAGAAAAAACAAAGCAGCCCTAATCCCATAACTCCCACCCCGCCCTCAAAACAAAAAACTTTAACAACTGAGAAAAAAACCCTTGAGGGTGACAGGCTAGAATCCCACAGTGCTAAAGAGTGAGACGCTCATTGGTTTTTAGGAATACACAGCATGGCGAAGGAAGCTGGAGGCGGAGGGCTCACCACTCCGCCCTCCCGCACCCCCTTAAAAAAAAAAAAAAAAAAAAAAAAAAAAACCCCAACACATTGGATCCCAAAAACCCCTGCAATAGATCAGCCACTTAGAAGTAGGCCATAAAATCCCCATCTTCCACCCCCTCCCCCCAAACACTTGTGCATAGTTTCATGATCCTTTACAACCAGCTCATGTTTTACAAACATCCTCCAAAGTGTGAAAAATGCTCCACAAAAGTCTGATTCATCTAGTAATAATACCCGCTGTGGGAGAATGAGAGAGAGAAAGAGAGAAAGAGGAAAGAAAGAGTAATGCACAATGTTCCTGATTCAGTCAGGACGGGACCTCATTAAGAAAACACAATAAAGATTTAAACATACAGCATTTTGCATGTTATTCACTGTCTTTCTTTTTTTTTTTGAACAATCAAAATCATTGACCTTTTTTTTGTTTTTAAATGTAAAGCAATTTTAATATATAGATTTATATATAAAGCACTCCATTTTCATTTAAAGTCCATTATTTGGTTATTATGTAACTGCTACGGATTTAGAAACAAAAGGTATTTTCTCTTCTTCTGAAATCCATAACTTTCAGTGCTTAGAATTGTTTCTTTTAAATCATCCTTTTTTTGTCTTTTTCTTTTTTTTAACTCATCATAAAAATGTACATTAAAATGGCGTGGAGTTGGTACTCTGGAACCCTGGCCTTCCTGAGACAAGATCCACTTTTTCGTGTGTGTGCAAGATAGTGAGCAATTATGTCTTTTTTTTTTCTTATCTTTTTTTTCTGTTTTTTTTTATATAAAGGAAAAAATATATATGATCAACATAAAACATACAGGCTTCAGATAGTCCATGAAATCAACATTAACACAGAACAAAGAAAGGTTAAACAGAACAAGACAACACTGTTCAATCCCAGAGTTCTGAAAGTAGCACAAGAAATCTTCATTCTTTGAAGTGTTGCACATTTTTGTTTTTTTTTTTTTTAAATGGAAGCATTTGTCCTTTTTTTTTTTTTTTTAAATCTTTTTCCAACATTCCCATGGTTTAATTCCTTTGTGTTGCTGATTTTTTTTTGAACTCCAGAAATAAACAAAGTGTTTGTAAACTGTCAGTGGCCTTGCAGGAAAACAAATGACAACATGAGTGAACTGAACATAAGTGAAAACAGAACGAAAGCTAACAAACCAAAAAGGTAGGCACCTCTGAAGTGAGCCCTAGAAGCCAAGGCTCAGTCTGATGTCTTGTCCTTCACTCTCTCTGTTGCTCAGATTTGGGAGAGCTGAAGTCCTTCTACCCCAATCTATGGCCACAGGTCTGCAAAATACTTTTTTTGCTGCATTTTTTTGTATACATATGTGATTTTTTTTCAGGTTTTCTCGTTTTTTTTTTCAGGTTTATAATCCGAAAAATGGTGCAATACTCAATTATGATCCATACTTTCTTGGATTATTCCACAATGAAAGCCACTAAGGTAGATAAACATTACATTTTTAAAAACACACTTATTTTTAGTCCTTGAGTAAACATTTACACATGAACTGTCCCCGTCTCCCCTCAGTACTTGTATCATGTTGTTCGTTTAGCTGGATGAGGGGTGAGGCCGACACTCAGTGCAACGCTAGAGGCTAGTAACAATTAACATCAGAATATATTTTTGACAAGCAAAAAGAAAAAAAAAATAAAACAACAACAAAAGTATACTGAATTGAAAAAGAAACACAAGGCGGAGGTTCCTCCGCTGTAATCACGAGCTCTCGTATTTTCACCTCACACACTAAACATTCATTCAAACAACATACAGTACAAGCAGCCTTGTGCAAACACTCAAATACAACAGATGTAAATTTGCCTTTATATCGATCTTTGTTTTCAACAACATTTCAAATTTAATTCACTCTGAACCGATGCTATCAAAAATCTCTGAAGTGTATGAATGAGACAAAAAACCACTACAAAAAGTGTTCACATTACATTATTGGCGCTTCTTTTGATTCAAGTATTTGTTTTCATTATTTTGTATTACTCTGATATGTTTATGATCTTGTCTTCTGGGAAATATAATGTCGAGGAGGATACACAGGGTAAGGGCCAAAGCCAGGGCGGGGTTCAGGGGGGCTTAGGCTAAGTGGAAAACAGAGAGATCTAGCCATATACACACATACACCCATTATGTACTCTTGGTTGTATACTGTATATGAACTAGAATGTGCATATTCAACCCAGGCCTTTGTTTCTTTTAAAGAGCGATTTGCTAATTCGGCTCTTTGTGGGGCCCCTGCTCCAGACCCTTCTGATCCATGATTGAGAAGCATATTTAAGCTTGAGCTCCAGTTGCCTTTGAGTCCATGTGACTTTAAAAAAAGAAGGGAGAGCATCTGATTTCCAACACTAGACACGTAAGAGTGCAGGCAAGGGTGTGGGAGGGGGGCGGGGCTCTCAGTGCTGGTGCTGCGCCAAAAAAAAATCCAGGGCACATCTGAGACTCGTCCTCCGTCCCAGTGACCCGTCCTCCCACTCTGTTCCACTCCCCACTTCAGACGCCAGTTGCTTGATTCAAGTCCAGTGTGGAGTAAATGCAGGTTTTCAGGAACAAACAAACACACAAACAGACGACACAGGCAATAGTGATTGTTTTGTTGAATGATGCGAGTCTGAGGCGACTCTGGAAGAGGGCAAATCCCGAAAAAGTTTTAAGACTTGGTACCAAACTTGAGGTGTGTCCCCATTTCTGCTGATTTGTCGGGTCCCTGCTCGGACCCTGACCCCAAAGCCAGATGAGCAGAAATGACTTGTTGTGTATATGCTGGCGCGACCTTCAGGGGTGGAGGTCCAAAGAACATGAACCACCTGGATACAGCTTCCCCAGATGTGGCCCGGACAGCGAGCCCAGTCGGGGTGAGAAGGCGGCAGCTTGCAGAGAAACAGAACATCTCAGCCTCGGAGTGCACAGCTGAAACAGACTTCTTCTTTTTTTTTTTGTAGTTTCTAGTTTTTGCAAAAAACCTTGATGATAAAGAAAAAGATGTTTTTGGTTTTTAAAGAGATGTACCCGATGTGACCCATAAACAGTGCACAGACACATACAGGGACCACCCCCCCTCCTGCCACAGCCTGGTTCCCCACTACATTTCCGCTATTCGTCAAAGACCGTTCGTCTGTCCTGCCCGTCTACTCCTCAAGCCTCCTACAGCTGGAGCTTGTGGTGTACGCCCCTGCAGCAATAAAAGAAACTTACCCCGCTAAAGATAAATTAGGATATGGCAAAGATGGAAGTAGATATTTGCAGATCAGTTGGCACAAGACTGAAAAACTCTGCCAACCACTAGTGCCTCCAGCAGGTCATTTAGTGTCATCTAGTAGCTCTGTCCACACAGTGGGAAACTAAAATCTTGAGAAGAAGTCCCTTACGTTTTATCCAGGGGGGAGGGGGGTTTCAAGGGGAAGCTGCCTGGTAGTAAAGGTTGAGAGATATAAGTAAAGATTGGCAGATGTGGGGGGGGGATGGCTGTGATTTTCTAGATGGCTGTGAACGAACACCTCCTTGTCTTTGCATAGAAATGGAAGGCTGTTGTCAGTTGAGGTGGTTCTAAGTGTAACTGAGTGCTCCCAGAGTTAAACATAAAGCACCAGTGTGAGTGAGGCCCATCACCACTAAAGGATGTGTGTGTTATGAGACAACATAGAGCGGAGGTGCCCCAGGATGGACAGAGGAAGTTGGCTCACTATCCTGGAGGACCCTTGACTACACAACCTTTCCCCCACTTGACTCTTCAAAACCCCCTGTCTGACACCAACAAGCCCGCGTAAGAACTCCCCCACCAGCCTGTTTCTACTGAGATCCGCAGCGTGTCGCGTGGCCTCGCCTCTACACTACACACCGCTTCTGCCTCGGAGGCAGTGGGAGGGGCAGGAGAGAAGCTGAACACTGCATAAAGACCAAATATTAAAAAGCCATGAAATCATCATCATCAGAAAACAATCATTATCTATATCATCAATGATAACAGCAACAATATCAGCAAACTTCATGACAACAATCAAATAAAAATGCACACTGGCAATTCCATAAGTGAAACCAAGAAAAAACAAAAACACATCAAACGCCTCCATCTCTGGCTAAAGTGATCCTTGCAGGAGAGAGACAAAGAGAGAGTTGGAGGTTGCTGAGGACAGACTCTGGCGCAGCAGTAGTAGTAAATTTAATACAGGTGGGCCAGTTCTGAAAGAGCTGCTCTTGGCCTGGAGGCCGAGGGGAAAGGAGGGGGAGGTTGGGGGAGGAAGAGGAGGGAAGCCAGTCTGTAGGGATCCGCAGGGAGGCGGCGAGCGAAGGTGGGGGAGGGCGGGGGTGAGGGCTGCTGCAGAGCACTGCACTCCGCAGCAGGCAGGCACTCAGTGGCCACACTATCACACAGGTTGGCAGGGCCTCCAATAGAAAGAAAGAAACAAAAAAGGACGAAGAAGATGGCGATCCTCCCTGCTGGATCCAGTAGAACATAAACACGTCGAGCGTTTTTCCAGACACCAAGGCTAAAGATTTCAAAGTCTGCAATGTAACAGTGATATTTACTTTGACAAAGAGGGTGAGTGCTTTGGGGTCTTTCCCTGCCGCACCCATCGTCAGTTGAGTTAGTTCTTTCTTTGTATTTCCCTTCACTTTGCTACCATGTTTGACATCCTTCCTGGTCCCACCGACTTGAGGGAAGAAGGATTGAAAGAAAAAACAAAATCTTCACATCCATGTTAAGTTAAAAAATAAGTATATAGAGAAGCCACTAAGCAGATTGCTTTTTTGTCTTTTTTCAGTTTTTATTTGCCAGTGTTGCTTCTCCTTTCTTCTATTCGTTGGCATTAAGGGTGTAACGAGCTGCGACGCTCTTGCTAAGTGCTATGATAGACCACCTATTCACAAATCTTTGCTTCAGACTTTCCTACCGATGCAAATTTGGGCAAAGAAGAAGAAGGAAAAAAAAAAGGTCATCTGGTCTTCTGGTTAAAAAGGAAAACAGGCTCCTCTGGTTTTGGTTTGATGCCTTCTCCCCAAGCACACACACACTCACACATACGCAGGAACACACACACACACCTGTCCCTCCGTCTCCCCCAAAACTAGTCACTGGCATAAGTGTGGAGAGTAGGCTGGCTGAAGAAGTGCTTTGTGTGTACGTCCTTGTGTCTTGGACAGAAGGTGGTTGAAGACCAGCTTGCTCCTCTCCTGAGCTCACACACTCTCAAAGGGGAGATGAAGGGTAGTAGTGGCAGTTTTAGGGTGGGGGGGATTGCGGGGGGTTGCAGGGAAGATAGCGTTTTTGCAGTTCAGTCATTCCTTACAGTCTCCTCTCTTCTCTGCGAGAGGTCATGGTAGGGTGCTTGGACGGTAGTCTGTGGCTTATATTGCACGTCACTTGAAATGGTGGGAAACACACACCGGTAGGAAACGTTTACGATTTGAGGTTTTCCACAACATCAGTGAGAGGGTCCGAGACTGAGACCAAACTGCGAGTTGCCCGCAGACGAGTTGAGGTGCATTGAAGTGTTTGTCTTTACAGTTCCATAGTAATAGCAGTGGTTCATTTCATTGTTCGTCACGTCCGTAACTGTACATGGGACGACCCCCGAATCTCTCCCCCCACTGGGTAAGATTGACAGACACATTTTGAATAATATCATTTCTTAGCTTTGTTTTGCAATGGTTCAAGGAGGAGAAGAAGAAAAAAAACACTACAAAAATAAATGGCTTGAACACGGCGAACAGAGTTGCATCATTCCCTTTGAGCGTTGTGTGGGGAACTCAATCCGCTCGCAAAAATGCACTGAAGTCGCGAGCCGTGGTTGCTTGCGTTGAGCCGCAGCAGCACTGTACTCTCCACTCAGGTTTCACTGGCTCAGAAATAAGGGTGTGCAAGTGTCCGTATGCTTCTTCACCAAGTACAGAGTGAGTGAGGATAGCAGGGCAGGAAAGAGGTTAAGGCTAATATTAGTGCTGAGAGAAACAAATGTTGAGTCTGGACCAGCTGAAAGTTCGACAACCACTCTGATTGAAGGATTTTTACTTTGGGAATGACGCCTTTTCATGGATCTCTGAGGTGCAGTATGATTGCCTGAAAAGGCAGAGAGGGATTACGCAAGTTTAAAGATGGCAGCTCGTCGTTGTGTCAGTTTGAACTGAAGTACATGTTTCACACGGCGAGTTCCCAAAAGTTCTGTAAAAAGTTCTCTTTCTTTGTTGAATGAGAGACTTCTTCCTGTGTCTCCAAAAGTAAAAGCTGAATACTGTGACCAAAATCTCTCAGCGAGATTCACAAAACAACTGCAACTGAAATGTCATTTAAAAACAAAAGGGAGCAGAGGAGGTTGGCGAGGGTGAGCAGCGAGGATGTAGCCCCGCCCTCCTCTCGTCTCTCCTTTTCACCATTACAGCCACACTGATTATCTCCACAATGATTTGCAAGATTTTTGCTCCTGTTGGTGTTTGTTACGCCGGGGCTCTTCTGTTCTACATGGACTCCCCGCTCAGCAGGTCCCCAGGCAGCAGCGTATTGATTGGGGTGGGACTCCCCATGACCCGTCCCTCCTCTCCGCTCGGGGGTCCCCACAGGCTGGAATACTGCTGCACACCACCCCACAGCAACTCTCCGCCCGTCTTCGCTCCGCCTGTTCCCAGGCTGCCGCTACTGCTGCTGCTGCCGTTGTTGTTGTTGTTCCAGTGGGGGGAGTGACCGATGGGATGGGAGGCTCCGGACCCGGCCCCGCCCATCCTTGTCTGATTGGTGCCTGGAGTGGCCTGCCAGCTGGTCGTCACGCCAAGCGACTGGCCCTGTGCAAAGAAGCGGTTAACGTCCTCTTCCCCAGCAAACTCTGCCAGGATGGTGGTGTTCCCGAGCACGCACCTGGACAGAGGTGAGAGAAGAATGACACATGAGTAATGGTTAAAACTTCCTACAGATCAACTGAGCCAAACACCTTGAGGTGGGTCATTCAGAGGCGTACATGTGCAGGGACTTCTGAGCCTTGGCAGCTTCGTCCTTGGAGCTGTAGCGCACCACAGCGTTGCCCTGCGTCAGGTTGAGGTGGAATGTGATGAGGGGGCCGTGTTGCATGCACAGTGTACGCAGAGTCGAACCATCAATCTAGGACGTAAACAGGCACACAGACAGAGGGAGACCATTAGTGGACAGACACAGTTAACTCTCTGTGAGGCCTAAATGCTTAAAGGAATACTTCACCCATAAAATAATCATTTGTATATCAAGGCCTCGTCTCATCTTACCTTCAATTTGTGAAGAAAACATTTGTCTCACATGCCTCAAGTGTTTCCCCTGTATGTATTTCTAAAACATAAAGATGTCTCCATACACAATTAAATTGATATCTCTATTTGAAGCAACCAGAGCCAGGGATAAGTGAAGCTTATAAGTCAGGGTGCTCCAATCAATCAGCCACTGATCATTAGTGGAGGATATTTGTTCTGTTGTTTTGTCCGATAAGATGATGCAAAACATGTGAAACAATTTCTCTACGAGCCACTAAAATAGCGCCACTGGTCTGGCGGTTCTGTAGCTCACACTGAACATTCACTGTTACATTCATGGTTCACTGCTAACCTGACATCCAGCTCACCTGCCTGTCCTGAGTGCAGACACACCGTCTCTCTTTCCTCGCTTGTGACACACACACACACACACACACACACACTGCACTGAAAGCTTCTGTAGAGGCTGCCATACACTCCAGGGCACCTGACAGTGTTTACATTCACGACATCTTTATGTATACCAGCTCTTTGTCTCCAGGATTTGAGTCGTCTTTTCTCTGAAGCGCAGGGTTGATTAGGTGAGACCGGGGGCGGTTGTAACAATTTGGGGTTTTGATGTCTGCAAATGACTTCAAAAGGCAAACTAAGTGAATAAGGTTGAAGCTAAGGTTGAAATTACTTCCTGTCAGCCTTAATTCTGGTGGTCCCTTTTTCTTTGATCCTATGGGGCTTTTATTTTGACGGCTTCTCTGAGCCGAAACAGGATATAGAGGCAGAAAAGTTTGAGGACAAAGGAGGGGAGAAGAGTAATTTTACTCTGCAATATCAAGCTCTTGTTTCTTGATGGCTGAACATAATTAAAGACTTTTGGAAACATCAGTACGTTTCACCCTTCTCTGGCCTGGGGTTCGCTACAGTGTTGTTTACTTAAAAACCTCTTGAGCTACTTGAGCTACAGTTATCCATTGTTTTCAGGAGCAATGTCAGAGTTACTATACTGACTGAAACACTAGATGTTCTGCCTCCACATACAGGAGTGATTGTAACTGCATGGGAAGCATTTCATTGAACGTAATTCGACATCTACAACTGTGTACAAATATGTGTCGAAAGCCCTTCGCATGACAGGGGACATGCCAGAAATCTTCTAGTGGAACTTCAGCACTGGTTCTGGAAAAAAATCCTTGGGGAAACACTGGTCTCAATCCAACAGCAAACATTCTTGATGAAGTGAGGTAAAGCAAAGTTTTCCTCACAAATTCAACCTAACATGTAGTGAGTAGTTGATATACAAATGATGATTCTGTGGGTGAAGTATTCTTTCAAAGGCTAAGAGGAAGGAGTTGATTGTAAACTGGTACCTGTGGAGTGAGGTTCCTCAGAACCAGCCAGCTACTGGTCCTGGTGGAACTGTCTGTACTCCAAGTGGTACCTGCTGTGTACAAGAGAGAAACACAAAGATGCTAACGCTGAACAAGCTTATAAGAAACCAAAATCAGTTACAAACACTGAGTGGGTGGTGTCGATTTCCACCCAGTGACAGTTGACACCTGCTTAACCACGACCTCTTCTTCAGTCGCTGTCAATCCTGTTCACTATGTACCTTCAGAATTGGCCTGCGGTTGTATGCCACATCAAAGTGCAGTTTGTACTTATGAGTACGCTCACACTGCGAACTTTACAACCGTACACATACTAACACAATATGGCTCCATAATCTGACCTTTACTTAACTCGCATTTTACGACAGAAAGAAACGTCTTAAGCTTTGTGGCTCAACTGTTTTTATATCAGTTTTTTAAGTCAGATATTTTCACATGAAGGACAAAAACATGTCAACATGTTTTGGAGCCAAATGGTTCAACTATTCCTAACAGAGTTGCAACTTGGCCAGTTAGATTGTTTTATTTAACCCTGAAATATTTGCTTGAATTTCTTTGACTGATAATGTGCTTTCAGGAGGAAACAACAGCAGAGAGAAGCATTACAAACATTGATGCCTGGCTTTTATATATTTCACTATCAGCCTACCTGTGGTGTAAGAGCTGCTCCAGCCCTGGGCCAGACCTAAGGAGCTGCCACCCCAGGTTGAAGGCTTGGTGTTGGTGAGGCCAGGTGGGGGTCGGGAAGGGGCCGTGGTACTGCTCCGGGGGCCCTGGGGGACCTTCCACAGCTCGTGGGACAGAGAGGCCTGGCTGTGAGAAATGGGGCCTGGAGACCAAGTAGATTTCATCTCTGACAGTTTACCTGGGTGGAAAAGAGTGAGGGAAAGGTTGGTCTGTGGGATCAAGTGACCAAAGGACTGCTGCTCCCACAGGAGGGAGTCCTGCAGAGCGAAATGATCAGAAACATTTCATATTATTCAAAGGACAGCACTTCCCATGCCACACACAAGGAGGAAGGACATACACTAGATACAATAACACCACAAAGTGGACAGGGAGAAGCTCAAAGAGGATCATATCTAATCAGGAGCTTGAATGGACAGGAGAGACGTGGTTCTCCAGTGAGCAGTTGCAGCCCTGGTTGTTACACTAACAGGAGGGAGAGCATAATGTCGATTTGCAGTGATTCAGCCACTGCAATGTGGGGAGGAGAAGGTTATGGATAAACCATGTACCTGCATCGTCCGTCTCCGGGGACGACAGACTGAACGAGCTAGTGTAGGCACTGACTGGCCAATCACTGGACGGAGGCAGAGCCTCATTCTGAGATGAAGTGGGAGAGGAGCCTAAGCCGATGCCATCAACACAAACAAATAGACAAACACAAACAAATAAGGAAAAAATAGCAGAAAGAGAAAATGGAGTAAAGGAAAAATGCACTACAAATGATGACAGTACGCTTAAAGAAGAGAAGAGTATAAACTGGTAAATGACAATGATTATAGAAACAGTTAAAAGTAGGAAAATGAAGAACAAAAGAATAAGAAGCAGGCTCTCTGGTGGCAGCAGTTGCATGATACTATCAGACAATTTTGTACAAAACACACGGGGACACAGCTTGTTCTATAAAACTTCACATAATTCAGGACCAATACACAAAAATATTTCATGAAGTATCTTACTGAGACATCTCTCTTTAACCCTGCGCTCACCTCCGCTCCTGTCCCGCAGCAGGTAGCGGTTGACATCTTGGATGTTGGTGTTGATAGTGGGCCCGCTGGGGACACTGCCGGGGGTCACATTGGGGTCGGTCTCAGGGTCAATATTCTGGAGGCCCTTCCAGGGCACACCGGGGCAGAACTCTGAAAATCAAAACAACAAAATTAAAACATGACCTATTAATTATCTAATATCTGTATTAACTGGCTGCTACCAACCAGCTGGTCACCTGAATTTTTATAGAACACATTCATTTCCATTTTTATTGAGGCTTAAAGTTATGCAGTTTAAGGGCGGGGACGCTTCAGTGACAGGTTGTCTGCGAGGCGTCGCTACAGTCTGAGTCAGATCCACCCTCTTGTCAAAACAAGGTCACCTGTAGCTCCAAAAAACCTAAGATGGCGACGGCCAAAAAAACACATACCAATGGGTGACGTCACGGTAGCTACATCTAGGGCTGTACCCAAATCAGGATTACCCATCCACAGAGACAACTTCAAGTGTTCCTCACCTGGTGGCCAGTTGATATTGGTCCCATTGGCCATCTTGTCGCTGCTGCTCTTGCCTTGTCCCCAGCTGTCTGGGGGGACCAGGGGGCTGGTAGGAGACTCTGAGCTGGACATCAGGTTGTAGGGGCTGTAAGAGTCCTCCAGCTGAGGGGGCTTACCGGGGGGGCCCAGGTTGGCACCTGAAAGAAGTGAAATTAAACGTTTATGACAGTGCGGAAGTAGACATCAGTGAAATGTGGGAAATATTTGGGATTTTTTTCCCCAACCAAGTAAACAATGAAAGAGTCTGCATCTGGTCCTTGGTGTGAAAGGGGCTCAATGTAAAAACAGGAAACAAGATAAATATAACCTTTGAGTCAGGTGGGGACTTTTCATTTCTAAGTATGCAGGACGCCCCCTCCTTTCTCACCATGCTTGCCCATGTTGGGCTCTAGAGGAGAAGAGCTTCCAGAGAGGCTTTCGATGGAGTTGGGATGTGTCCACTGCGACAGACGCGATTGAGGCTGTGGAGGTTCCTTCATAGACAGACCTCCCACCTCCATGCAGTTTACATTCATGTTTGGATTCAGTCCAGCTGAGGAGACAGAGATGTGTTACGACAAAAGCCCACCAGGTTCAGTGCAGCGTTACTTATTTGACATTCAAAGAGCAGGTTAGCACCACTCACAGAGAGTGTAGGGGCTGTAGGTGTTGGGCGATGACTGCGGCTCTTTGGTCTGCAGGTCAGGGAGGCCTGGAGCCTGGGGGTGACCTGGAAATGAATCCAGGGTGGATTTGGCCCCGCCAGGATGCAGGCCCGAGTGGGAAGGGGGCGGTTGCTGTTGCTGCTGCTTCATCAGCAGGGCCTGGGCCAGCTGACGCTGGTGCTGTTGGATCTGCTGCTGCATGTTATTGATTGTACGTGCAACCTGGGAAAAGATCACAATAGAGACATGTTTAGGATTTTATAATGGCCTGGACGGTTTTCACATCACAAGCAGCTTTATTTAGGTAAAATAATTATAACTCAGTCAATTTTGCAGGAGAGAAGAGAAAACTTCAGCTTAAGAGGGAAACTTACTTGCTGCTCTTGTTGTCGAATGGGGCCAGAAACGTTGCGCTGCGCCTGCAACATTTGCTGCTGAATTTGTAAACGCTGGTACGCCTGTGTGTCAGACAGAAGTGAGGTTTCAATGTCAAAAGATGTCACTGTGTCTTTATATCCAGTTATAACTCAACAGTAATAATATGGCTTAATCTACATGTACCAAAAACACTGAAGTAATAAATTCACAGTCCAATTAAAAATGCTCAGCATGCACTTGGTCTTTGTGGATATTTGCCATGCGCGCCTGCTGCAGGCAATTACAACTAATGTATCTCATAAAACTGAGGGCAGATGAGGCTAAATGAGACTCACCAGTTGCAGCTGGTAAAGTTGATTCAGAAGGGTCATATGTTGAGGGTTTATTGGTGAGGTTAAAAGTGCAGGATTCAGACCAATGTTTTTTGCTGCAAACTGTAAGAGCTGTGCTTGAACCTGAAGGAAAAAAGCATTAACACATTAAAACACAATGTTTTAATACAATTAAAATGTAAAACAGAGCATGTGGTTGGTGCATACACACATACACACGAAATCATGAAGTTCCATACTGAAATGCAGCATTAAGGTCAAGTTTGAAGAGGTCTAAACTGATTCATAATAAATGAGAAACTCAGGGTGAAGATGTTTTTAAAGACTCTAATCTGAATGTAAAATATTTATCATGCATACATTATATAGTAAGTGAGAAATATGGGCCATGTATGTGTGTGCTCATGTGTATATATATATATATACCTGAGGGGAGAGAAACTGAGGCACTTGAGCACGTAGACTAGGCTGAGAGGAACTGAGAGGCGGCACTGGCGGCTGAGGAGGCGGCTGCGGCTGCTGCATGGCCCGGGCTTGTGCTGCTCCAGCACCGCCAAACATTCCACCCTGCATCTGCTGGACAGAGGAAGAGTCAAGGGAGACGGTCAGCTTCTGCTTCAGTCAAACATGTTATACATTTTCCTTATCAGTTTCTGAGCATCTGTCCCAACACGGTGAGCTCGACAAGGTCACAGAGTACCAGCAGGTCCATAGAAAGACTTGGAATCATTATCCACATTCATGGGTTTGAAATGTCTTACATATTTTACTTAATGTTGCAACAGACAAACTTAGACGGTGTCACAAAATGAAAATGCAAGAAAAGTCATGTATGATGTCCAAAACAACGTTGGCTTTTGCAACATGTAGAGTTAGAGGGGGCGAGACTGGTTTAGACTCTGCGGATTTGTTTTGATTTGGCATTTCCTGAGCATGAAGAGCACCCCCCTCTCACCAGTAGGGATGTCGTGAGAGGCGATACTTCAGGATTAAGTTGGTGCCAATTTTCTAGAAAAAAAGTGTTTTTCCCCTGTATCATAGGTACTGGTGATGCAATTCTTCAGGAGCTGATGGGGCAGCATATACACCTACAAATATTCTAGTCTGCCTTTAAATGCCAAAAGAAGAAGAAGAAGAAGAAGAGGCCTCCCAGCACGGAGGAACAACATCAACACCTGAAACTACAACAAGGGCAGCTGCAGCCACAGCTTCGCCTTGACTGGTCGAAGAGAGAAGTGGTTTTTATCTGAGGCCAGAGTAGTATTTTAATTCTTTGAAATGTGAGTGCCGTGAATTTACACTACACTACAAACATTAGCAGCAGGACAAGGCACTGTTCATCTGTTCTGCGCTGAGCATTTTGGATGTTCTGAGGTTTTTTTTCTGAGAGAGAGTTGAAAAATGTTAAACTTTGGGTAAACGCTGTGCTTGTCACACTCAAATATTACCCTGTCACAGTGGAGGAGGGGAGGGACAACTAGCTTACCACAAAGACCAACTGTAACATCTCACATGTTTAAGTGCTGAACAACAACAACAACAAGGTAGAAACATGTTAACAATATACTGTAGGCTTTAAATCAATTTGTTTCTTTGTCAGCAAAATATCATGATCCCACATAGACTAATACTTCAATTTAAATATTTTTAACGAAGGAACGTTTATGTTTAAGTTTAAGTTCATGGGATTTATTGTTTTGTTTTTGTTTTTTACCCTGGTACCAAATTGGATAATGAGAATCGTGGAATTTCACAGATACGACCACATTTCTGTTACCGTGACATGCCTACTCACCAGACAACAACATGGTAATGATACTTAAGAAGATAAGGGCAAATTTGAGGTTGCTTCCTTGTTTGGGAGAGTACTGTATTATTTTTTCTTAAAATTGATGATTTTTTTTTTGTTCTTTTGTTGTTTTTTTTACATATAATTAAGTGCCACTTGCTGTGAATGTCAAGTAAAAAGTTCTCTCAACTTACTCTCTCACATTTAACTTGGATCCTCTGTTTTTCAGCAACTTTTCTCAGGGCCACCATTCAAACTCTCCAGTTAAATATTTCCTACCAACATTAACTATTTCATGCACAGCATGTTTTTACTCAAAAAAAAAAAACAGGTTACCTTATCCATGAAGGGCAAGCGGGGGTCTGCTGAGGGGTCTTTGGAAAGAAGCGGAGGCCGAGGGCAGCTCATGGGCTTGTTGATGAGCCCGTTGTTGTAGTCGTGGCCGGCTATCCCCATCCCCCGCTTGTCCAGCTCGGTCTTCTTCTCCAGCAGGGCACTCATGGCCTGGTCCAGGCTCATGTTGTTGCTCTTCAGAGCCTCCTCTGCTGGATCCCTCTGCAGAATAAACCAGAGAGCATCAGTAATACAGAACCAAATCAATGCCAAAGAGTAGGGTATGAGCAAACTTCAAACTTCCCTGTTCATGACTCATGTTACAAATATCATCAAATAGTTCAATCTATGGATTAATAATTATTCATTTGATCTATAAAATGTCTGAAAATTGTGAAAACTGCTTGTCACAATTCACCAGACCGCAGGGTCCTGTCTTCAAATGTCTAGTTTACTCTGACCAACAAAACCAGAGACTTTAGGTAATTGTTTCTTAGAAAAGTGACTCAAAATGATGAACTGATCATCAGAAGATGCTGTATAATTTTCTCTTGTCTGCCAAATAAATTAATCAAGCAACATCCAGCACCGTGGTAGTAACGGTGAAAGGCTGACGCTGGTGTGGAGGGCAGCGTTACAAGAGAGGTGAAAACAGATGCAGTAATCAGTAACCGGGTTACTAGTTTTTTTCATGAGCAGGTGAAATATGAATAACCTTGTTTCTCTGTGCTCATGTAAACACCATATCCTGAATAAGTTCATAACCGCTATAAACCTCATAAATGGGTTATTGGTATCAATTCACACGGACTCTTTGAGGCTTTACATGCTCATTTCAATTTCTCCACCTTTAAAAGGGGAAACGCTCAATAGTAAATTGTAACAACCATCATCAATTGAAGGTAAAGAGAAATACATTAATAACAAAAATATAACTGTGTCATTTCCCAGAGCCGAGGACCAACAGTGCAGCAGTTTAGTGTCACTTCAACTCACAGGGAAGCCCATGTCCGTCAGCTGTTTGATGAGACGATTCATGATCCAGGCGTCTTCTTGCTTCCCTGGGACCTTTCCCTGGGAGAGCTGATGACAGAAAATTATTATTGCCACACTATCTTAGCATTATTTTACTATGAAAATGTCAAATTGTTTCTAATATACAACAGCTCTGCGTCGTACCTTCTGTGGGCCCTTTTTGGATGCATTGCCCCAAGAGTTACAGGAGGAGTTGCTCTCCTGGGAGGCAGCGTTGTTCCACATGTCTCCTTCCTCAGCATCCCACTGACCCCCCGACAGGTTCAGCTCTTCACCTCCACCTCCCCATCCGTCTTGCATAGGTTTGGGGGCTTGAAAACACACAACAGAGATTCAGGCAGTTGTCATCTTGCTTGTGAGATTTCAGTTTCTACAATGTATATTAGAGTTAAGGCAAATCTTTGATGAAGGAAAATGAAACTGACAAAATACAAACCTGGGAAAATAACTGAGAACTTGTTGACATGTTGCACATTAATATATAAAAGTAATATCTATGCTTTACAATACTAGGCAGCCACTAGGGGTCAGTGTGGATTTGAGGTTACAGTTTCCACTACTCTTGCTCTTTAACACACTGATGTCCTTGATGTCCATTTGCAGGGAAGCACACATGTTGAATCATTAAGAGGCTACACACATTTGGGAAATTTGAAAAAACAAACAGCTATTTACCAGGTTTGCAAGATGCAGATGTCATCGTCGGGTTGCCCCTGCCATAGCTGTCCGGGTTGTTGTCTCCCCAGCCCCCACAGCTCCCAGTGGATTTGCCCCAGGCTGACGTCCCGTTGTCGACGCTGACCGGAGTGGGTGCAGCTTCCCCCCAAGAGCTCTCTGATTTTGTGTGGGAGCTGGGTATCTCTCCCCAACCTGGAGGACACACAAGGACAAGGGCCCGTCAATAAAAATACTTCACAGCACAAACACCAACAAAATCTAAAAGGAATTGTGCTTTGGATATGATCACGAGATAATATTACCTCCAAAATACTGTCTCATTTGACTTTGTTTTTTAGATTTTCTCATAAGGAGGCAAAAAGACATATTATAAAATAGATATTATTACAACAAACAACAACAAACTTTTTTTTTAAATGGCCATTGTCTGCATTTTCTAGAAATATCAGAGGCAATGAGGCAAACAGCTGTCTAGAAATCAGCTCCCTTTTCACATGCCACTTCACCAACCTCATGGTACTTTGTTACTGGTGTGCTAAATTAACTGGCGAAGTGTTTGTCAAAAATAAAATAACATGACATAACATAACACAAAATAAAGTAAAAGAAAATAAAATTAAGAAAAATAAAACAAAAATAAAAAAAATAAAATAAGGCAAAATAAAACAAAACAAAACAAAATATTTGTTTTGTTTTGTTTTATTATTTTTCAGTTATTTTGTTATTTCATCATGCTGTTATACAAAAATTGTCAATAAAAATTTAAGTGGGAAAATAAATAAATAAATAAATAAATAAACAAAATTAAAAAAAAATAAAATCAAGCAAAATAAAATAAAATTAAACAAAATAAAGTAAAAAATTAAATTAAACAAAATAAAAAATAAAATAAAATAAAAAAAGATAAAAGTATGAAGTATCGGTCAAGTTGCCTCTGCTGGCTTGTGCTACCATACTTTTGTGCTCAATATGAGAGTTTGTGATACTCATACTGTCCTGAATGCCAAATGTTGAATTTAAGATTAAATCAAATTCATTTACTTTGTCTAAGAGCCCTCATCACAGCTCCTTCGGCCAGAGAGGAAGGGTCTTCTTCATTATTCTTTGCTGATTGTATCAGTATCAGAAATGCCTCCAACACTGACCAACATGCTGGACTGGGTATCGGCACGTAAACAATACACTGAACCGATACCACGTAATTTATTAATAAACTTTCAAATAAATCCACACCCAAATAAAACTGCAGTTTTCCTACACCACTGTAACTTTCGCTGTGCAGCCACTGACAACTCCTTTTTCAGTGTGGCGAAAAAGATTTTTGGTAAATAGTGTAGCAGTTAGCAAAATGTCAGCATTTTGGCAATATTTCATACTATTAAGTCCCACCATTAAAGAGGCATGTACAGTATGAAAGGCTTTAGTTTCGACAGGTGGCACTAGTGTTGCTAATTTTAACACCACCACTGTGTCTTATAAGGGTTCAACCTGAGCCATGCCATAGAAGAATGATAGTATTCATTTCACAAAAAAGGTATCCAAACAGCTCTACTAAACACTCAACCTGTCTCGCTTCTGTTTCCACGTTTAAAATTAGATTAAATATTACATTTAAGTATATATTAGTTAAAATTGAGATTCATATAAATGACAGGCTTACAGAAACATACTTCTTCAATTCTCTTTTATTTGTTTACTGATATAAACTGAGCCCTAAATCTGACTGAGCCTCTGGTTAACACCATCACACTGTTTATCCTTCTGTTTTGGAGTGTGAAGTGCCTCTCGTGCAGGAAGGCAGAAACCTGGGCTCGGCTTAGCAGGATGGCTGACAGAGGGAGAAGATACCCATTTAAGATTTGGCGCAGCCTGGTTCCTCTTGGCACTAGGGAGACTGCACTGTCTCCAGGCCTGTGGCAGTGCCAGGCTCAGCTTAGCTCTCTCTCCAGGAAGAGGTCAAGTCCTAAGGGCTGCTCCAAAATTATAATTAACACTCAACCTTTAAGTATGACTGGCCGAAACACTATACTATTCCAAAGAGAGCGTGAGGAGACGAACAAAGTGAATAATTTTTCCTCACTGTCTGCCATGAGTTATGAATGGCATTGAGGAGTTATCTATTTTTGTTTCTAACTCACTATAAGCTCAACAGTTCTTCTGCCAACAAAAGGGACCACTGTCAGGTTTTATTAGGAAACAAATGAATTGTGAAGTTGGCGTGCAGGGTCAAGTGAGGGACAGCAGGGGGCGTCAGCCCCCTCTCCGCTCTTAAGGGCTTGCCCCACCTCCTCCCTTCATCAACTGACAGATGGTGGCTCCCATATAATCACACACTTCCGATCCTCCTCAAACTGTTTGTGGTGAATCGCTATTTTCACGAGGCACTTTGTAAACAGCATTCTTGTGCTTCCTTTGGGTACCCATGAGAGGTTGCCAGGGTTACCCACACAGACTTGTCCGTTGTTGTGAAATGTGAGGAGCCTCATGGAGTGGAAGGGCTGGCACTGCTTAACTCATTTGGATAGTTGATTAGATGTAAATCCAAAGAGGACAATCTGGGTCAAGATTTTACCTTTAAGTGGATCAAGAGATTGGAGCTTAACAGTGCAGCGTGCTAACTACATGACCAGCTTTCATGTTTGACACCTTTACTTTGAACAGTTAAAAAGAAAAGAGACATACGAAATAACGTGAAAATAATCTAACTTGTGTTTTGACTATGTAAAATCAAACCACCTGTATAATCTGAATGTTCACAATCTCATTTATGTTTATACTATAAGCAAATGAATCTCTCAAACTTGGCCTAACAGGATAGGTGTGGGCTACATGGCACTATAACAAATTGCAGAATCAGAGTATTATAATATGATATTGGGCTATGTAGATAAAACTGAATTGACTCTTACCTTGAGCTATCAGGGGACCCCTGTTGTGAGATGGCCCAGACTGGTGTTGGACAACAGGATCCATGGGCCCACCAGTAGGCCCTGGGTTTTGGGAATTTTGGGTGTGGTTCTGTAAAGGTGTAGGCGGCCCGTGATAGGGGTGATTGTGAGAGTGGGGATGGTTGTTGTTGGGGCCTGGGGGGTTATTGCCTCCAGTGGTAACTTTATTCTGGGACATTCCCGGATTGTTCCTGTCCCACAGGTTGACTGACTTGCTGTAGGTACCAGGGTCACCCCAAGCTGAGGTCCCATCATCTATCTCCATCTTACGTCGGATTGAAGGTGGAGAAGGCTCTTCCCAGCCTGTAGGCTCAGCTGAGGACTCCTTCTTACTGCCACCCCAGTTTCCGCCCTGCTTCACTGCGCCTGAGCCAGCCCAAGAGCCGATGCCCCCTCCTCCACTACTACTGCTGGGCCCATCCTGAGGCTTGCCCCCCCAACCTTGAGGAGGGCCAGTGGGACGCTGGCAAACTGGCTCTCCCCAGCCCCCACTTCCTCCAGCTGCAGGTATCCCAGGTCCTGAAGACGACATTCCCCAGCCTCGTGGGTTCTCCTTCCAGCCACCTGTTTCTCCCTCCCACCCTGGGTTGGTAGAACTCTTTTTGTTGTCTTCTGGTTCCCTCCAGTCCCCTGCATTATTGCTGCCTCCACTGTTGCCCCAGCTGTGGGATGCTTTGGGTTGCTCTCCCCAGCCCTGGGATGTTGCCTTGTTGCGAGAATCATCCCAACCAGTTGACTTCTCCTCCCCCCAGGACTGACCCCCATTCTTGGGTATACTGGTGGTGGGGCCTCCTGCTGGAGGATTCCCCCAGCCACCAGGGCCACCTGGAGGCTTAATGTTGTTGGGTGGCTCTCCCCAACCAGAGCTAGGTTGGTTATTAGCAGCTATGCTTCCACCCCAACCTGAAGCTCCCTGAGAACCAGGCACATCATTTTTGCTCCCAGGGTCAGTCCTCTGAGAGGGGCCCATGTTAGTGTTGGAGGGCCCCTGGGCATCGCTTGGAGTCGTTGGGCCAGAGCCCCATGATTCAGCAGCTGCATCATTCTTGCATTTAGTATCGTCCATGTCCCAGGAGGTGTGTTGGCGAACAGGGGTCTGTCCCCAGCCAGTGTTGCACAACACTCTGGGATCCAGATCCTGGGCAGGCAGCAGAGGAGCTGGATTATCTCTGGATGATGGTTCTCTGTGCTGGGGATGTCCTTCCATGCTGTCACTGCTCCCTTCACTTGCACCAGCTGTGCTCACAGGTCTGCTCCAAGGACTAGCCTGTGGATCCTGGGGAGGAGAGCTGGGGGTATCCCAGCCTCCCTGGGACTCCTCAGTGCGCTGCTTCCCCCAGTTTCCACCAGACTGGTCAGCCCAGCCCCCAGAGCTTCCTGCTCCACCTCCTCCACGGCCCCAGCCAGAGTCCCAGCCAGGTGTCTCCTTAGATGAAGGTGCCTTTAACTCACCACTGTTACCCCATACTGGGCTACTATCTTCTCCATTGACCTGTGGGCCCCCTGTGGGGGTCTGGCCCATGGAACCCAAGCCTACAGGTGCATTACCCCAGCCAGGCAAGTTGCGGATGGGGCTGGGGGGTTCCTGCCTATTAGTGTGATTTGGTCCATCAGTTTTAAGGTTCTGAGGTTCTGAACTGAAAGACACATTCGTGGACGGGGAGGGGTGTGGCTCTGATGTGTCAGACGCCATTATGCTACCCCAGGCGCTGCCAATCCCCGAGGAGTTGCTGTTAGTGTTGGCTCCGGTACAGGTGCTGGTCTGGGCTGGTGGGGGGCCAGTTGGATTGCAGAGGTTGGGTGTAGGTTGAGGAGGTGAAATGGTGTTGGCTCCCCCTGAGCTGCCTCCCCCTGTGCCACCCCCATCATGACCCAGCATGGGCCAGGCAGACGGGTTGGCATTAGGGTTTAGGTTCAAGTTAAAGTTGGTGGTGGAGGATGATGAAGAAGATCCCCAGCCCCTGCTGCCTCCTCCCCCTACTGGGCTGTCACTCTTCCCTTCACTCCCCAGTGAGGACTGAGGGGGGCAATGGGAGGGTCCAGGCCCAGAGCCCCAGCTGCGATTGGCTGCAACCTGGCTGGAGAGCATGCTGGTTCCAGTATGATTGGCAGGGCTGGGCCCACTGTTGGCCTTGCTGCTAAGGTGGTTGGCAGGGAAGTGGCCTGTCTGGCTATTGGCCCCCGTGGCCATACTCACTGTACTACAACTACTACTAGTACTACTGCTGCTGCTGCTGCTGGTCGAGCGACCAGGGTCAGTGTCCAAAGGGCATCCTCCTGGAGGGACTTGGCTCTGGCTGTGGGTAATAGAAGGCCAAGCCTCTGTGTCCTTCTGGTCAATGATCAGTTGATCCCAGCCACTGAGATTGGTGGAAGATGCAGCACTTGTGGCACTCCTGTTGGCTGGTAGGTGTCCCCAGAGGGGATTATCATACTGGGCTCCCTGACCACTCTGTGGGGGCAGTTCTGTATGGGAGAAAAGAAAAAGAACAGGACATAAGCATGAGCAAGAGAGAAGAGAGGTACAAGTCATGTACGTCATCACGCCCACATATGCTTAGTAAGGTTGAAATACCATGGCAACATATAAGGTGTCTACTTATGCATATATAGATTTCACAAGATGCTTTATTAATAAAAATAAATACCACCCACAGTGAAAATGCAAACAGAATGACTAATATGACAGCAGAGGGAGCTTTAATTAGAAAATAAATAAAAAAATGTATGCACTCTATTCAAACACTATCTCACATAATTTTCATACATTTGTTTTCAAATCTACTATGACTCAAGCCGGGACTAACGCTCTCAATGATATCACCAAGATAAAATATTCACAGATTATGTTACAGTGTCGTACTTCAAAAATATCTAAATAAGGCAGTCATAGATTGAGCTAGAAAGGACTTGTCTCACATGATTGATTGGCTTGTTTTTTGGTATTTAATTAAAAGGTTTAATTATTGTAATGGAATTCTAGACACCAAATATTACTGAGAGTGAAAAAACACTGATTGAAATGTCTTTTATTCATCAATGTAGTGAGAACTTGACATCCATGAAGCTATTATTAGAATTTTTACATTTCACGATGCATGAATGCAACACATCACTAGTAATAACAAAAAGTTACAAAGTTTTAGGGTCTATATTTAGTGAATATGGTTAAAAATGAACGCAACAGAACATTGAACGATGCGTTTGCCAGATACAAATAGAGAAGCTCTAACAGTGCTAGGCACTGTATCTTCCTAACAGGTCACCCCTAAAAGAGCTCTCATATTTGGGAGCCACATTGGAGGATGTAATCAAAGACAGGGGCCATGCAGCTGAGTAACATTTGACCTCCTAACCATTGCAGTTATGACCTCTACTTGACACTCAGCACAAATACTCGGCACTAGCTTTGGGCAGCCTGTCTCCTCACCAACACATCAGCCTCCATCTGCTCTGACAACTCAAAGTAATGCTCAGGCTTATTCCTATTAGATTCGCGTGGGTTCAGGCGAGCTGGGGTTCCAGTGTGCCTATGTATCGTGTTGGTACAAACGAAGCCCATTTGCAGATCATCACTGCTGCACTGATCATCCTGCTGCCTCCTTCCTGCTGTCCCCTGTGCTGCGGGGTCTTGTTGTTTACATGCACCCTCACATGCATGCTTAGTTTGTATGCAGACTCTGACTCTGTCACAACTACATGAGGGAAGTGACAGCATTTGTGTACCACCCCCTGTTTTCAAGCTTACTTTAATGCTTGCAACTGAAGGAGAGAGAGGAGGCAGTGAGAGAGCAGGGGGGGAAAAAGAGGGCACTGTGTTTCTGACACACACAGTGCTGTCGTTCTGTAGCGTCACTCCACTGAGAAGTGCAGGACCGCCATTTTCTCAGTCCTGAACTACAGCCAAAAAGGCTCTGAGCTACCGCCTGTATCTCCACCGTCGCTGCTTTAACAGCACGCATGTCTCACTCGCAATAATAAATGCAAAGCAGAAGAACCCAACACTGCATGCCCGCAATGCACTGTCGCTGCAGCTTTAATGTTTGAAAGTGCTCATCCAGACAGAGAGTAAATACAAGCCACCAAAACAACACAGCAGAGGCAGAGAGGAGAGAGGGAAGAGGGAGGCTGGAGAGGAAAGAAGGGGAGATGTGAAACACAGTGGTGAAATACCTGTGGAGAGGTGCCTCCCAACCATCCTGTAAAGAGCTAGGTTTTGTGCGACGCAGCGACCATCCTTGTTTCAATATGTCTGCTCGGCTCGCCAAGCTTCTGAGGCTCATTTTTGAAATGCTGCCAAGAAGTTGCACAGCTCTTGCGCGGCATGAGACAACCCCCCTCCTCCCCTCTCTCCCTTCCTTCCTCACCCCTCATGCTCTGTCCCTCCCACCAACACTGCTTTGGCTGAGTCTCTCCTCTATCTATTGCCTCCCTCTGGCTTTATTTATATATCGTGCTCTATTCCTATCCTGACGGAGAATATTCCCCCTCTCTGGAAAAGCGCTGAAAGAGGGCTGGTTGGGGGAGGGGATGGGAGCGTTGGGGAGATGGTGGTGGTGGTGGTGGTGGTGGTGGTGGTGGGGGGGGGGGGGGTGGGGGTGGGGGTGGGGGGGGGGGGTATTGGTGGTTTTGGGGCTTGGTTAACAGCTGAACGATAAAGCCTGGAGACTTACATTATGCACTCACGAGGCATGAGGTAAAACAAAACAAAAGGGGGACTCTTCTAACCTCCCCCACCCCTAACATCTTTCAACCTTTCAAAACTGTCACTAAATATTTAGCCAAGACCACTCCATCTGCAATTAGCACTGCCGCCCACAATGGAAACCCTCTTCAATAGCAGTGGCAGGCGAGAGCGAGCAAGAGAAACCTCACAAAAGCCTGCTGCACCCCCTCCGGTGCTGGAATGACAATTTTCTCACACATGCACGTGTTTATGTACAAGCATGAGGATCATCAGATCACACAAGATGACAGATTTTTGGTTAAAAGTATGACTGCGAGTCAGAAATGTTGGGATCATGAGAAGCTTTGGATTGAAAACTGCTGCTTCATGGGATACTTTCAACAACATGAAATGAGCAATCTCATATGGATCTTGTCTCAGGTCATGGTTAGCGACTGATGATCTGGTCCCAAACATTGCACAGGAGCTATGGAGGTGAAAGAGGTTGCAAAGGGAGACAGCAAAGGAAGACATGCATTAGACTTAATAGATGTGGTGGGAGGAGGATAACTGGAGCTGGGCGCTCAGCAAAAGAATTAAAAAAAAGGGCAGCAGTCCCCTGGATCAAGGCTGGTATTGTTTACAAATGATCCCCGCGCCCACGCAACAACACAATAAGTCAATGTTTAGTAGAGAACAGAGTCCCTTTATGGCTGAAGTTCAGCCCCCTGTGCCTCTCCACTGCGAGGACCTAACATGCGGTGAGGTCATGCCGTGCTGCTGCATGGCCACTCGTTCCTTTGTGTGTTAACATACACACAGTGCGGACACTGCATCTACTGTCTGGATGTATACACACTGGCGAACAACACAACCACAACACACACGCTACTTCCTGAATGCACAGCTCAGCAGGCAAACCTTTCATGCTTTCCTTTTTTTTATCATTTTACATAACAAGTGGACATGCATGTACGGCATGTAAGTGTACTCAGGTGTGTGTGTCTGTGTGTGTGTCTAAGAGGAAGGGGGGATACAAGGGTCAGGTAAAGAGGGATCATGAGGAATGAAAACACAAAGACAGAGATGGATGTTGAGAGATGGAAGTAGGAAGTAATCTAGGAGGGCTGTGCGGGCCTCAGCTGGACTGATCCTGGCTTAATGAAGTCCCTGATGGGCAGAGAGACTGGATAGTACAGAGCTGACAATGCATGCTGCCAACCAGATGAACGAGCGCTCTGACAGACGCGCACACACATAAAGACATGAACCTCCCAGGAATGTGCTCACTCTGTGTTTAATGATCGCAATCGCCACGTCTCTATTGTTTTTGATTTGGTGCCCATAACTGTGTAGGAGTAGCACAAAATGAAAAGATGGAGAACTAATTGGCAGCTAAAAGAACTGATAACTGATTAATCATTTTCAGGCAAATATGCCCAACTTTCACTGGCTCTTGCATCTCAGATGTGCTGATTTGATGCTTTTCTTTGTCATATTTAATAGTAAACTGATACCATGTAGCATGTTCTGGTAGAAAACCAAAATACAAGTATGAACCTCAAAACAAGCATAATAGGTCCTGTTTAAGGTTCTGAGAGGGTCGAGTGCAGAATAGCTGCCATCAGCTGTAAACCGAACCAGCAGAGTCCTTTACGGCCTAGCACAGACACAACACTCTGCACCCTTTTGTTACTGCTACTGTTGGGAATGTGCTGAAGTGGCACAGATAGTTTGTTAGCTGTTACCTAAACTGTATTCATCCTGGAACAAACAATGGCAACTTAATGACAGGGACTGCACAGAAATATATGCAAGAAATTGTGTTTCGTATGGATGCTTTCTTTGTAGCTTCTTTGGTGTAAGTGGGATGTTATTATCTCAGGGGAAAAGACTAACAGAAGGACAGAACATGTCTTTTAAAAAGTACACATCTAAGACATCTGGTGGTCATGTTTGCCTGCGAGTATCCTCTTTCTCCTCCTCCTCTAAAGGATAAACCAGGTCAAGGGCTTTCTCCAGCGTGCCAGTCTTAAAATAGCCTGCACTCTCACGCCTCCTACATGAAAGGGCCCTGGGATATGGATTGTTAGCCAAGCAAAAGGCAACATTGGGAGAAAGCTATAATAATAGGAAGATTGACAGACTTACATATAGTATGTGCAGCCTGACTAATCCCAGCTGCCCTGGGGCCAACGAGGGTATGTGTGAGCTGCGGCGTTGGTATAGTGGAGTTGGAGGAGGTGAGCATGTGTGCATCAGAGAACAACGAGCGCAGCAGCGAGAGCGAGAGGAGCAGGGGCACAGAGCGAGGCGAGGAGAAATAGAAAAGAGAAAGAGTGAGCGCTGAACATTTGTGGTTAACAGAGAGCTGATGTTTAATCACATCACAAGACGTCCCAGTCCTCTTTGAGGGGATTCCCAAGGCTCTTTTACAGCATCATCAGCAGACTTAAAGAGCACATCAAGTCTAGCATGCATACACTCTCTCTGTTCCCCACTAGACGAGCTATTAGCACATTAGCTGCACTGTTCTTTCACTTGACACGGCCTGTTTTACATCAAGATGTTGTTTGTTGGTGTCGGCCTCTGTTGTGCTTAGCGAGTACAATGCCTACTGGTACATAAAACCTTTATCATTGCTTTATGGGCTTTAACTAGGGGGTGTTAGACCAATGCAAAAGGGAGCAGCTATAAATCTTAAGTGCTAAAGCCGACACATTATAGGAATAAAAGCTAATGTGATTAGTTAACACTCAAAAAATAACAAGTCAGAGAAGGCTGGATTGCTGCATTATTGCCACACAAAGACTACTAAATGCACTTCATTTGAGTGAATAAAAAAGGAATTTTCCTATGTCTTTTAACTAAATAGACTCAATGAGGAGCACTTTTATCTTCATTAAGAGTATTCATTTATATCTATATAAAAATGTGAACTCTTGTCTTGAACCTTGACCATTAAAAGCTAGTGGTTGCTGCTGCTGCTGCTGCTGCTTGCCTTTACAGCAGAGTAAGGCAGGATTTATACTTGTGCGGCAGACCCTACGCTGTAGCCTACACCGTTGTGAGCATTTATACTTGTGCGGTGTCACTCTTCTGTGAATTGCTGTGAAGTTTGGTTGATTCAAAACACACCAAAAACACATATTTAACATGGCTTAATAGAGACAATCTCAAACACAAGTACACAAATCAGCTTCACTATAACTCGCGGCATTCACAGACAAACACTTGTCTTTATCTGGACACATTTTCCCCACAAATACAATATGCTAATGTTTTTAGCACAAGCCTATGGCATTTTACATTGTATAAATTAGCCTAGCAGCCTGGCGATCTTTCCCTCTTCTCATATAAAGCCAGGGACAACAGCAACATTTAACAAATGTAATGGAACATAATTTGGCTTCATTACAACTCACAAGGTTCACCGACAAAACAACTGTCTTATACTAAACATGTTTTCCAAACAAATACAACATGCTTACATTTTTAGCACAAGCCTATGGCATTTTAGATTGTATAAATGAACCTAGCGACAAGTGGAGATTTCCTCTGCTCATATGAAGCCACCATAAATCCTTAAAATTATATATTTGTGGAGGCTATACTGTCTTCACAATTTACTGTTTATCTGTGAATTAAACATAAATAAAAGGTTTGTTTCCACTGAGGGAAATGGTTTCAGCTTACAAAAAAAAAAAGACAGGAGGTCTGCATCGCTGTGAAGTGCAGTTACATTTCTGGGGAGGTGCACGTCAGGCTACGGCATGGGTTACGGCATAGAGCCTACGCTGTAGCTACGGCAACGCAACGCATTCAACGCAGAAGTATAAATTCCACATAATGCTGTATGTGTCAAACGGAGCAGGGACAGTTGTTTAAGTGCTAACTGGCGAACAAGTGTCTGAAATCCTTCCTGTCAGTTTTCTGATTTCCCTTTTTGAATGATGAACACAGACTACTGCCGCCTACTGGTATATTGAGTTATTTCCTCTCACACAGGTGCAGAACATACATGCTAGATGGCAGTTGGCTGTAGTCCATGCTGTGTGTTTGTTGGCCTTCATCGCCACCAGCTCTTTGATGTCGGTTTGGTGTGTCTGGGCCTTACGACTGCAGAGGAAGGGAATGTTTGTTTTTATGCACATGTATAAACGTGGACACACAGGCCACGTTTATCGGCCGCGCTTTTCAAGAGAGCAGACATGTGACCGGGTAATGAAAGACGGGGTGAGGCGAGGTGGAGTCAGCGGATGGAGAGAAGAGGGGAGAGTGAAGGGAATGAATGCAGCTAGTGTGTCTCTACTGTTAGTTATCAGCGAGAAATGAAAGCAGGGAGGGGAGCAATTGTTCTATCAGCAGACGGGGCTGCAGGCACAGTGATGGAGGCGGGTCTACCTGTGGCGCTCTGTACGCATGCTGAATAACGCTGTATATTTTTTAAACCTGTGAATGTTTTCAACGAGACATTAGATGATTGAAGAGACAGATTGTAAAGGGAGATAGTGTGTGGTGCTCATGTGCAAAACTTCTCTGTGCACCAGCTCAGCGAGGTATACATATAAAAATCTCCCACTATAGTATCTGTCTCTCAGTCTGGAAGGGCCTCCCGTCTGTCTGTCTGTCTGTCTGTCTGTCTGTCTGTCTGTCTGTCTGTCCTAATGTGATCAGTCAGTTCAAAGTCGCGCAGAGAGCAAAAGCAGAGCGGAGCAGGCCTGCCAGAGAGGGGCGGAGAGAAGCAGCAGCTTTTACCGTAAGCCATGAGTCACTTCAGCCCACAGTACTGGACCTCTGCCATGCTCGCTCTCTCCTTCTTTCTTTCTTTCTTTCCTTCTCACTCGGTCTTTCTATCAGTGCCAGGTCAGGCCCACTGAGGCGCCCGGCCAACTAGCTCGCTCTACACGGCTCCTCCTCCAAAGGCAGGAAATACTGTAGGGCTGGTCAGCAACGCTCAACAGAGAGTGGGAGGATGATGATGATGAGAGGGAGGAGGAGGAGGAGGAGGAGAAAGAAAGGAGGAAAGGGTAAACATCTCATCACCATGGAGATAGCGCTGCATTCAAACAGCATCAGAGAGATTGGAAGATGCTCAGACACACTTATGGTAAAAATCTGTTTTCCCTCGCAGACAATGAAAAGTGCCAGGTGCACATCATACTTCATAAAGAGAGAATAGACCTTTACCACTCGGAAAAACACAAGAACCTGGTTTACCGTGACATGCGGAGCCGCAGAGAGGAAAATACACACATACAGAGATAACCAGCTGTGTTTACTCTCCATCCTCTACCTCTGTATTCCTCTATCCCCGTTTCTAATTCCCAGTAAGGCAGAGGCAGAGTGAAAATAAACAGCAGCACCTGTGATGCAAGTGCTTTCCCAGTGCTCTACAGGTGCATCACTCCTGGGCACAGCTGATGTAAGTCAAACAGCTGTCAGGATGGGTTGTAAATGAGAATGACGACATCGTGTGTACAGATATACCCTATGTGAGGCTTTTGTTATCTGGTTGTGGAGATAAATAAAATTTTCAGAGAACTGTTTATAGTGACACCTCTCTCTGAGGCTGTTGGGTGATCTGTGGTCAGCATTCTCTATAGCCACGACGGAGCACCTCCATCTGGCCACAACAGAGACTAACTGAAAACATGATATGGCATGCTACATTTGATGAATTTACTGTTTATCAGATCACAAATGAGATCATAGTTACCACACCCTCTGTCTTTCCACTCAGAGATTACATCCGCCAGAGGAACACAGAAGGCATCCCCGGAGATGGACCTTCAGTCAGCAGCTGTAACAGCTCAAATTCAGCCAGCGCAAATCTCAGCGGTAAGTGAAGCTGCTGCTGCAAAATGTACTTTGCGGAAACACAGCTGTGTAGACTCTGCGTTGTAGTGTGTGCTTATTTTTTGTTGATGTGAGCAGACTCCATTTCTTAGCTAACGTTAGCTTACTGGTGCTCACTGTAGCTCTGTAGCGAAGCTGAGAAGTTTGCCTTGAGGACTTTCTGCCAGAAAAAGATTTCTTATCTAAGGTTTATCAAATCTTTTGGATCTTCCTGGAAAATTAGGCCCTCAACATTTAAGTAAGTCCACAGGCTGTTATAGGCAACTGAGAAAGTTGGCCGGGGTCTCAGTTTTTTAAGTTACATTACAATCCGTTCACCTATTGGCAATAAAAAATGATATATATAAAAAGTTATGCACAGTACCTTAACGCTTGTAGCAGTGCAGGGCAAATAATTTCATTTCAATTTCAATCACAACTTTGGCTTGCAACAATCATGAAAACAGGATGTTTGAGATGAAACGATAATTCTGCTGCATTCCATTTCGCAATTATGCTCTTGTTTTGTTTTGTGTTCTAAATCCAGTGTACCCTTTCCTTTACAGAGGTGCACTCAGTGTTCCCACCGTGGTGACTTACTTGCTAGACTTTGCAACTTTTCAGACCCTCTCCCTTTTACTTCTAAAAAGTGACTACTGGCAAATGTAGCATCTTGTTCAGACCAACAGGGAAAGAAGTGAGAAATATTTTCACAGATATTGTATTCATTCCCATGCACATTGTTCAGAGTAATCCTACTCCACAGCTTGTCAGCCATTTGCACAAGCTCTCCCCTTTTCCTCTTGCAATGTGTTTATATGTTATTCCATTTATCTGTTTTCAAGTTCAAGATAATTCACTGTTAAAAAGTATTTTGAAGGTCTTAAATGCATGATGTTTCCGAGGTCAATGAGTAATCATGGCAAATAAATGTGACCTAAAAATTGACCACAACAACTGTGCTTTGGATTTTTGTGATTATCGAACAGATCTAGCTTGTAGTGTGACTACTAATAAAGCACAGTGTCTGCCCAGCTTACACCTACCCTGTTTGTTACTGAATTCCACTCAGTACTCTCAGTAAAGACAACCTCAGACAACCAGTACCCTGACAGTGATTCACAACAACCTTCTCCTCTCCTGCAGCAACCCCTACTGCCACATGTAAATAAAACTACACTCCCTCTGAAAAGCTTTTGCAAAAACAAAAAAAAAAAAAAAAAAAAAGGATTCAGAGATAGTGATTTGCCAACAGTGTGTCTCGGCTGACCTGTAGGCAGGCTGGCTGTGGAGGAAGAGGAGCAGGAGGGAGAGGAGTGTATGGCTACTGCTGCTGCAGGTTCAGTAGTGGCGGAACGTCCCGTGGTGGTGAGAGGCAGAGTCCCGGAGGGCAAAGGCTGGCCCCTCTTCAACAGCTGCTTGTGCTCCTGCTGGCGGAAGCGTGGGGGCACCTCTCTTGGCGGATAGCGCTGCTGGAGCAGAGTCTGGGGCTGCTGTGCTGTCTGCGGCTGACCTCCAGAGGGGGCGCGCTTGCCATTGCCACTGCTTGGGGGTACAGACGGGACAGCACTGGGGTTGACGGGGGGAAGAGGAGGGGTGGGGTCGAGCTTGGCAGAGTCTGGCACTGTGAAGGTGAGGGGGTGGTGGTGGTGGTGGTGGGGAGCAGAAATGCAGGGATGAGGGAGGGAAAGGAGCGTTAGGAAAAGCAGAGTTGAGCGCACGCTAGTGACAAAACAATTATTGACTGATAAGGCAAAAAGACACTACAGATTTGTCATTATATTTTACATTTTAAAAAAGAACCAAAAAACATTAGATTGCTGTTAGTTGCTTTCCTAGCGCATATACAAAATAAAACCAATCATCAGCATAGCTTTAGTCTTTTCTAAAAGCTGCTGTGGCTGAGCATTTCCTCCGCTGCATCTTTTTAAAGCCATGGTCACTTCTGGATGAGGACCATCATGTTAAATTCAGAAAGGCAAATGAGGAGAAATGCACAAGCTTTGCCGTCTCTCCTGGCTGGCTGAATTTTGATGCTAGGCAGTGGTCAGTCTAAACACATGGCAGCTCTTTGGAGAACCAAAGAACTGTAATAATCTCAGGGTGGTACTGTAATAAACCTTCAGCCTTGGGGATGCCAAGACACACAACTTTCACAGTCTGCCACGGTGCCTGGTCACAGATTAGAAGTGTTGAAGAGGTCAAGTACCACATAATGGACTGAGATCTGCCTGCTGCATTATTGTGGGCTATTGTCTCCATCAGGACAGCACTGTAAAGAGTGCTCAGCCCCATCAGCATAAGCTATTCATGGTTTGTGGCAGGTTATGGCCCCTGAAATCATCACCTCGCAGAGCTCTACCAAAGCTGTTAGTTATTAACTGCTCGTGTGGCTGCTGAAGCCAAGTGCCCATGTCCCACTAGCTTTAGTTACCCTTAGCAACAAAGTGTGACTTTCTCTCTCTCTCACACACACACACACACACACACACACACACACACACTTTTCTGTGTTCATCTTTCTTAAACATGCAATGACTGATTTTTTTTTGGCCACTTGGGGGCAGTGGAAACAAGGTGTGAACATAAAATTGAAAATTTAAACTTGTTAGGGCTCTGACACACTGAGCTGATGGTCAGCCAATGTCAGGCCGTCAGTGAGCATCTGCAGCTCAGTTTATTGTTGTTACTAGTCGCCCTTGTCGGCTGTTTTTGGGCTTATTCAGCATGATGGATCTGCAACAGAGCCCACTGGTGAGTAGAATCACTGTGATTCCGGCAGTTTGCTAGCGAACATTAAATATGTGTTGTTAATGTGCTAACTGGCTAACTAGCAATCTGTCCTGTCGCTCTTCCAGTTTTGCTTCTTTAATGATGAATACTGACTTCTGCCACCTGCTGATGTATAGATTTATTTCTACTCACACAGAAGCAGAACGTACGTGCTAAGTGGCCATTGGTTGTAGTCTTTGCGGTATGTTCCTGAGACACAGGCGACGTAAGACCTTCATCGCCATTAATTCTTTGATGTTGGTTTGGTGTGTCTGGGCCTTTACTTGCAAACAGCTACTTGTGTACACCTTCTGCAGCGCCGAAGCAAAGACATGATACATTTGGAGTCCAGTTTAAGTCCACTATTCATTCTCTTTTAGCTCGATTTTTGGTTTTTACAAACTTCTGAGGAAAACATCTAACTGTGTCACTATATTCACCACTTTTTTCACTACAAACAGTTGCCTGTTGCGGCCACAACCAATAGCACAAGAGCGATTAGAAACCAAAACAGTAAAGTTGCGGGCCAGACAGCGAAACCATGAACTGAAACTCACATTAAACCTCCCTAAAGATGAGGGGAGCTTCAGTTTCGGTTGACAGTTCTCTGTAGAAGTTCATCACCATGAGTGATGCCTCTCACATAAATAAATATTTGATAAAAACACAGTTTGTAGCTGCTTTAAAGACAAGCTCCACTTTACCAATGAAACAGTTATCGGTTTCACAATAAATCACTGTAAAATTCTTTACAGTTAGTGTTACTGTGTCGTATTTTAATTTGCATTACACCCATGTTTGATTATCGCGTTTTGAAAAACTCACAGTAAAGTCCAGCGTCGACCAAGGTTAGCAACAGTCTCCAACATGCATTGCCACATGGTGCCATCTTTAATATCAATGCATATTTGACACGGTTTTTATATGTTTACATAGTGTTTATTGCAAGCAAAAAGTGCATAGTATCTCTAATTTTAATTGTGGTTTTCAATTTAAAACTTGTTGAAATGTTATTTGTATTAGTGTATTAGGGTTGCAACGATACTAGATTTTCATGGTACAATAACGGTCTCCGAAAATATCATGGTTTCACAGTTGATTATTACAAATTACAATGACCTTTTAAAATATTTTTTGGGGTTGAACAAACACATTAATATAATTGAAACTTGAGACAAGTTTTTTTTACAAATTAAAAAAAGTATGTGAAAAAAATCTCCCTTCTGAAAAATAAACTAAATAATATAATAGATATAATAGATAAGCAGATGTAAAAAACATGATAACCGTCAATATTCATATCTCAGTATACATTGACGCAGGTACACCGCTGCAACCCTAGTGTGTATGTGTACTTTTTGAACATTTTCAGCACCTTTTCACACCCTGGTAATACTAATCACTGCGATAATTTTGGTTACCATGACTGTAATATGAAATTTTGCACACTGTAATCAATAAATGTGACTTAATTTCCTTTCTAAATATTGCCAAAAAACAGGAGCCAAAGCTGTCAAGTGTAAAGCCCTCAGCAGGCTAATAAACTGTAGGTGAATGAGGAAGTACAGGGTTAGAGGTCACCACTAAGTCAAACAGGATGATCAGCTCGGGGTCACAGAGCTGCTGCTGGGTGAGATGCATCATGGGACACAAAGCACACCGGATAATCGCCTCAGTACATTTCATTACATAACAGAATAAGCTGGTAAACGAGAATGTAAACAGGATGCAACAAAAGTGTTTAAAACCTATACATACTGCACGAGAACAAACCCAAACATCAGCTGATGGGGACGCAGTGTGCACTCGGCCAAAATGGTATTTTGAGTTCTCGCTGGTAATAAAATACAGGAGGACGGAAAAGGAAGGAAGAAAAAAAACTTGTCAAGGCAGCAACCAAAAGAAAAAGAAAATCTTTGTGTGGCCTAAATGAGTTATAAAGAGCAGTGCTTCGCCACTGGCTGCCGTCCCGAGTGTGTGCAGTGAAGCAATGAATAACTCGCACACATGCGGCCAGCCCCGACACACACAAAAACAAAGAGTTATGTAATGCTGAGGCCCACACTGAGGGGAGAGGACAGGATGGTGTCGTGGAATATACGTTCACACAACCTTGTAAATACTGACAGACATGTTCGCTCACATGTAACAGACAATTACTTCTCATTTTTCTGTGTATGTTTATGTCTGTCATGCATGTGTGGGGGGGTCGGGGGTTTCCTAAGTCATTTTTGCCTCCAGTACCGCATCCCCTCTATGGGCTGCAACCACCGTCTGGTCGGTCTGATCCTGTTTCACCCGCATCTGTCTGCGTGTCTCCCTCTCCCTGCAGCTCAGGAATCAGGGGGGAAGCTCGAGAGCTGGAGCTCGCCTCTCATCGGATTTCTCTACATCTGCTCCATTTCCTCTCCGCTCTTGTGCTTCATCCCTCCCCACCTTCCCATGCTCTCCTCTCCCTCTCTCCTTCATTCACTGTGATCTACTATTATCCTCTTGTCATTATTACTCTATTAGGGGCGGCAGACAATTCCCAGCCAGTTCTCCCCGCTGATTTTTAAGAGGTGATTTCCTCTTAAAAACAGGACTTTGTGGTTGTGCCACTATGTATAATAATAGTTATGAAGGCGATCGTTATACAGCTGGGACTCTCTGATGTGTGACGTAGATTCTTCTGGAAGCTGGGGGAAGGGGGAAGCTGGCTGGCTGCTCCGTCGGCCAATCAGAGGGAGGAGACGAGGAGGGGGAGGGAGGGAGAGCGAAAGAGAGAGCTGACGTACAGGAGGAAGGGAAGGAGGTAGAGCAGAGAGGGTAAGTGATGAAGAGAATGGTGTGTGTGTGTGTGTGTGTGTGTGTGTATAAGACAGTCTCCACCCCCTTGCACGCTCCACTGTGAGCTCCAGTCTCACTGCCTGAAACCAGCTTGGGTCTAAATCCGCTTACAATTAGAACACTATTTTCCTATAGTATGCCACGCTGCGCTGGATTTGTCTTAACACAATGGCACGAGCCCTGGACATTTAGTGACTGACGCATTAAAGCTAAATTTCTAATATTTACAATCGTGTCATAGATGAATCAGGTTAGGAGGGGGATCGGGAGACAAAAACAAACAAGTAAACACTTCTGGCATCCGTAAGGTGTGGCTTATTAAGCACGAGTCTCACAAGGCAGCGCTTTGCGGAGAAAAATGAAACAGAGTAAGAAGAGATCTAAGTCACTTGCTCTGACAGCCTATTTGCAAAAACACAGTCCTCAGCTGTGCAAGTGCACAGGAGAATTCCCAGTTCATCAAAGATGCACATCAAACCGTGGCCTTGGGGCTGTGTGCGCTTCACGCAGAGGAAGACATTCCATTTTCCACTTTAAAGGGGTCTTAATTTTATGGGAGAAAAGATGATAGTGTGCTACCCTGACTGTTTAAGACCTAGAGGTGGGGGTGGGGGGGGGGGGGGGGGGGGGGGGGGGGGGGG